GAGAATTTTATGTCTTAATGAGATACGATTTAAAAAAAAAAATCCAGAGAAAGCTGCTGCCCAGCACTCTCTAACAGAAAGGCAGTTCTGAATGAAAACATTACCTTGTGTCACATCCACCTTATTCCCTGGGTTTGGCATGGGTGGCTTCTGGCTCTTCCCCAAAGCCAAAATGACCAGGGAAAGTCAATATTTTGAATCAATTCAGGATGAAGGCGGCCACAGCAGAGCCACTGTGGACACTAGGAAGGAAGACATCTAGAACTTCAGGAATAGGGATGAGTGACTCTGAGTGGGATTCACGGCCATGTGTCTCTTAGTATAATAATTTTAAAAATTAAACATTCGCCCTACTTTTTAAAATTACACCTAGCAACACCCACTGCTAATGAGCTAGAAGATGTCTAGGATCAAGATGTCCATTTTCCCCAAGTGGATCTGTAGGTTACACACAATCCCAGACGAAAATCCCCGGGAATTTTTTATACATCCTAACAAGCTGATTCTACAATGTATACGCTAGGACAAGGAAACTTAAATAGCCACAAAGATTTTTGAAAAAGAGCAAAGCTGAAGGACTTAATATTATTGGATTTTAAGATTTAGTGTAAAGCCACAGGTGGTTTTATAGTAGTGATTTTATCAAGACAGTGAGGTGTGGATAAAAACAGGCACATCTGTCAACAGAGTTCAGAAACAAGGTCTGCATTTATACGGTTCATTGTTGGGCTTTTGTTTTTGTTTTGTTTACAAAAAGACACAAAGGCATTTCAATGGCGGATGGCTAGTCCCTTTCCAACCGGAATAGAAACAATTGGACAGTCTTACAAAAACCAAACAAGTCTTGACCCATACCTCACATATTGTGTGAAAATGAACTCAAAATGGATCCTAGACATAAATGTAAATCCTACAGCCATAAAACGTCTAGTACAAACCACAGCAGAAAAGCCCTGTGACCTTGAGCTAGCCACTTCTCTTCCTAGGTAAACACTGAAAGTGCAATCCAGGGAAGAAAAAGGTAAATTGGGCTTTTCATCTGAAATTCTCTTGTATTATTAGCCGATTAAATGCGAGCTGAAGGACCGTATGTCACTTCTACGCAAAAGCTTTAAAAGCCACTCTGGTCTTTAGCCTTCTGCATCCAGTTGACATCAAGTTTGGCCATGTGATTTTTTTTGGCCAGTGAAATCTGGGTAAAATTAGTGCCCACCATTTAGAGCAAAACCTGTAAAAGGCAGTTTGTGCTTTGCTGTTCTCTTCTCTCTCTGCTTTGATGAAGCTTAGTTCCAGAGGCTGCCCCACAGTCACATGTGATAGGACAGGCCCTTCAAAGACCATAAGTAACAGGATACACCCTTTCCCCCAGTTATGCATCGGGAATGAGAAATTAAATATATTGTAACCCTCTGATTTCAAGGTTGATTACTTGTAGCATAATCTAGACCCTCTCCTGGATGCAGTTTCATGCAGGGTGATTTTTAGTTGGTGCTATCTAAGAACGCAGTATTTCAGTGTCACCAGTAACATACCTCCAAATCTCAGGGAGGGATGTTTTATTTAACTGACAATTTCACATGTAAATCTAGTCATGACCACAGTATATGGATTTAACTCTGAGAATCTTTCCTTGTCTTCTTCGGCCAAATTATTTTCGTGCAGCCAGGCATGGCGGCACACACCTGTAATCCCAGCACTCGGGGGATGAGACAGGACGATTGCTGTGAGTTCAAGGCCAGCCTGAACTTCTCAAAAAGACAATAAATACATAAATTGTTCTCAGGCATTCACTTTTCAAGTATTGAGAGCCGATTGAATGCCAGGTGTGGTGCTGAGCGCCAGGGAGATGAACAAATGAGGCAAACACAGTCTGTTTTAGTGGAGGTTTTATTCTAGTGAAGGGAGTCAGGAAGCAAGTAATTACAACAAAGATGCAAAAGCAGTTGTGGTAGGAGCTAAAATGATGCAGTGCTGACAGGTCTGGAGCATCATACTCCTCTGTGTCACAAGAGAGGTGACCTAAATTACTGAAAGGAAAAATGAAGGGGAACCAGAACCTCGTCTTCCTATGTAGGCATTCTGTGATCTTTGGACCAAACCTTGGACTGTGTCTTACATTTGGGACATAACTCAAAGGGGGAGCCAGAGGGGATAGGAATGAGGCAACCTGCTCCCCTCACAGATATTTTTTTTAAAAATTCAAGACAGAATTCTCAGTGATGCTGGGTCAGGAGAATCAACTCTGTTCATGAAGGCTGATGTCAAATTCTTCATTCTTACAAGCATAGCAAAGGGAAAACACTCCACACACTCCAGGCTGGGCAGCAAGACAGCACCACTCAGCAACAACCACCACACTACCCACTACATGCTGTCCTGTTCGGGCTGCAACATTTTGTTGGAAAGTGATCATCTCTGACGCTACAATTTCACCAGATCCTTTTATTTTGCACTAATCCAGGAATTACTTCAATCTCACATTACTCAATTCAAAAGAAGTTTCCTAAGCACCTACTGTGTGGCAAACTCTAAAAATCAGTCTTTGCTCCAAAGGACTTCAGAGCCTAGCAGTGAAATCACTAACAAATTATCTCAATCAATGCCTTGCCGATTGCTCAGACGTATTTTCCTCTAAAACACAAAGATTTCCCGGCACATGGGCACGGTGAAGCAAAGAAGCATTATTAAGTGAAGTCGTGTTGGGTTTTATTTACTTCCTTTTCTTCTTACTTCGGAGTAACTCGAGATGGGTCTACGGCTGGAGGCATGGTTCTCCATTAAATCCAACTTCTCTGTACCACAGGGCTTGGGGGATATTAAGTAGCAGGACAACTGTGGTATTCCAAACAGAGACAGCCCAACTTGGAGCCACTAACAAGATGTGTGTCGAAACCACTAAGCCTTGCTAATTTGGGGAGGGGGGATTTGTTTGCTCATTTATAAGATGGTGTGTCCCGTGGGCTCATGCATCTTCCAGTACTGATTCTCTCCTTGCTTTGGAAAATCTGTACCTGGTCATTACTATTAAAAATGTCTGAAATGTCTTAAGTATTCCAAAAAGCTCTCTTGCAATAGCTTTGGACTCACTGCAAGCATGGAAGCAACGATGGTCCTGTAGTATTTCCTGTCCCCACTCCCAAGGCCCAGAGTTCTGAAAGAATGTGTAAGCAGGCACCATGCTGGTCTTTCCCCAGCGATGTCACCAAGCAACTCCCAGCCAGAAATGGTGTTGCCCGTCCTCCTGCAAACAGATTACCTGGCCTGGACCCCTGGACTGCCTGCATTAACATTCTTTGGTGCTGCTCCGGGCCCTGTAAGTCGCACTCTGGTCCTCACGGTGCCATTTCAAGGCGCTTGGTACCAATACTGGAGCCCAGCGGTTATCCCTGGGCGGGGCTCAGGACGTCAGGCTTTCATACAACCCTGACAGTCGGTGGGGGGGCTGTCCTAGAAAAGCCACGTCTCTCCATTTAAGTCCCAAACTTGGACAGTCGGGTACCCATCAAGCGCCAGGAACGACCTCACAGAGCGACCCGCACCAGCGCCCTCCGCCAAGTTTGGGTCTCACCCTCAACACCTACCAGAGCCCAGGGTCCAGGGCCCGCCCCTCGCGCTGTAGCCCCGCCCCTTGAGTTGTAGCCCCGCCCCTACTTCCGGTCGGACCTAGGCCGCTTGCCCCGCCCCCGCCCTGCAGACGCGGCTCTCCTCGCGGTGAGCGTCCCAGCGTCCCTTCCGCCGGAAGTGGGGGGACTTTCCCTTTCCGGCTACGGGTCCCCAAGCGGAGCGGGAGGCCGGACCCGGGAGCCGAGCGGCGGCGGCAGCAGCGGCGGCGGCGGTGGTGGTAGAGGTGGTAATGGCGGAGCTGGTACAGGGGCAGAGCGCTCCGGTGGGCATGAAAGCCGAAGGTTTTGTGGACGCTCTGCACCGGGCCCGGCAGGTACGGCCGCAGCCGGCTGGCGGGAGCGCCAGGGGCCGAGGCGGAGCCGGGCCCGGAGGAGGGGTCGGGCCTGGGGGCTGGAGGCCGTCAGAGCCGACGCCTGAGCGAGCCCGGTGTCTGCGGGGCTGCAGCAGCGGCGTCGCGAGGCCCAGGTCCAGGGCCAGCCGGTCGGGCGAGTGTCCCCAGGTGCGTGAAGTCGCCGGGAGAGAGTTTGCCCACGGCGCTTGCCCCATGGTGACCCGTGCCCAGGCTAGACCGAGACACGGGGCAACTAGCGCGGATTTCAGGAGTTCTCGAGGGCCTTAGGGAGCTCCTGGTGAGCAGCCGGGTGTGGACATAAGGCAGCTGTCTCACTCCCGGCAAGGAGCTTGCTAAACCTTAGAAAACAAACTCCTTTGGACTTTGTTTATTTCAAGGATGGAATGGAAGAAACTCTAGAATATGTTATTTTTGAGGGTACTCTTTAGAGGGTTGTGTTTAGGGGATGGTCTCTAAGAAGTAGAAGTTCGTTCATGGCAGGAGTTCTCCTGTACTAGAGAGGATGTGATATGGACTCATGCAGACAGCAAAACCTCAGGTCTGACAATGTCGTGCACTTTTGTCAGATGTAAACTGGTTCTTAAGAGGTTACAAGCTTCCCTGGAGAATGAATATAGCGCCTGCCAAAGACCTCTCCGGTTTCTGGCATGATGCTTAGAACAACCATGTGTTGTGTCTGAAACCTACAAGTTAGCCCTAGACCTTAAAACGGCCTCCTCTTGAGTGTCTTCATCATCTCCTCCTAAATAAGCATAAGCACCGATGTTGTAACTAATGACTACTTGGTTCCTAACAGAAAGCCACAGGACTCATTGTAGTAGAAGAAGGTCTCCACTTGGGCGCTCGAAGATGTGGTCTTTCCATCTTTTTCCAGAATGCCGGGAGAGGGAATTCCACTTGCCTCCCAGATACTGCCTTTGCATGTTAATACTGATGCTCCTGTAAACATTACACTGGATCCCAGAACTTTCCAAATCTGTTTCTACCTAAAATTTTGTCTGATGAATTGTTACTTATTGCATAGGTGTCAACGAACATGGTAGTGAGTATCCATCTTTCTTAGACTTCAGAGCAACCAGCTTGGCGGTAACGGATGAATGTGCCAGCCAGCTCCCTTTCCACCATTCTGCTTCCTGGAACTTTTCTGTGCTGTCCTCCACAGTGCAGGACCCTGAACCTTGTTTCTCACTGGCTACTAATAATGTAATGACTTTCACTCTGTGATGTGTGACAGTCACCTTGTTGGCCTTCTGTGTCCAGGAAGAATTAGAGTCGCTATCTTAAAAAGAGCTCAGACTCTCAGTTGGCAGGAGGCTTGTAGTTTTGAACATTTAACGAATTCTGAACTGTGGCGAAGACTTTGTGCTTTTCTTGAGCCAGTAGTTGAACTTCTAATTTTGGACAGCCTGCTCAACAGGGAGACCTCTGTTAAATGCTGATCTAATGTGGACTGTTGGAGCAGTGGTGTTTACCGCTAGTGGTGAAAACATCATTGGATTTGTTCTCATCTGTGAGGTGCACCACTGCCTGGAGCAGTCATGAGCCCGCTGGAGCCAGGACTAAAGCTGTGCCTTCTGAATTTAACAGCTGAAGGTCCTTACTATCTCCAAGGATTTGATGGCATTTAAAAACTAAAGGAGAAACAGGTTTGTGGGTAATTTTAGGTTTACTTTGTAGATTCATATTGGGCAGGGGTTGCATGTTAGAAATGTGTAATATGTGTTTGTAGTTAAACTTACCTTACAGGCTCTCGTATTATTTGGGTACCTGGATGATTGTGGTTTTCCTTCGCCATTGAATACACAGCATGCTGCAGAGTTGTGTGGTTCCCCCCCCCCTTAGTAAATGAAAATAAGACAGTATGTTTCCTTACTTAAATGCCTACAACTCCGCAGCATAAGCGCCTGCCTGGCAAGCAAGGGCCTGAGTTTGATTGCTGGTACCAAAAACAAACAGATAAAAATTACTGCAGAGCATCCTTACTTTCACTTATCTGTACTCATAAATATGAGTGACAGTCTGTAAACAGCACCTTGGGAAGTTTGTTGGAGAGTTTGTTTGTGAGCTGTCTTGTACTGTTTTTCTAGCGTATCGAAATAGAGTGGGTTGGTCCTGCTGGACTTTGCATTTATAGTTTTAAGTCTGCTATGAAGAGTCTGGCATCTAATCCACCAGGCGTCCTTTCTGGCATCTCAAAGCCACCTTGTGTATCCTTTGGACTCTTCCTAATAACACAAACTAGTTGTCGCTGGTAGTTTATATGGGCATTGTATTCTTAGATCAGAAGAGAGTCTTTGAAGATGTCATATGAAATTTAGATTTTTTTCCCCCAGTAAGGAGAGGTCCTGTGAATTAACAGTGTTTGACACATACAGGTAATTTACATAAATTTTAAAGATCTGATCCGATTCCGGTCCTTTCAATGAAGATCCAAACCTGGGTATTTAGAAACATCGCCCCTAGTTCGTCTGACTCATTGGTTAGTGCAAATAAGATGTGTTGTCAACTAGTTTAGAGAAGGCAGGGTCCTGATGAGGTGGAGTGTGGGCTCACAGCTAAGGTCCCATGTCTTGTTCTTGGCCATGCTGAGTGCCTGTGTCCTGTTATGTTAAGTTACAAGGGACCTCACTAAGATTATGGGCCAGCAGATACAAGACTTTTATTTTTTTCAGTTTCCCAAGGAAGTCGACCAATAGTTTAGTAGCACCTGTCACTGAGTCAACCAAACAGATGTTAATAGAGTAGTGTAATAGAGTCCTGGGAACTCTCCACGGGCTAGACCAGCTGTCTGTCAGGTGTCATCAAGACAAGAGATTCTCTGGCCAGATGCTGCTACTACGTGTGTGTGGGTGGGGAGGTACTGGAGATGGAACCCAGAGCCTTCACCCTGAACCACATTCCCGAGCCCCATTTATTTATTTGCTTGTTTATTTTTGAGTCAGGGTCTCCCGAAGTCACAAAGTTGCCCAGGCTGAGCTTGAACTGGCCGTCCACCTGCCTCAGTCTGCTAGAGTCATGCCTGGCTCTGCTAATCCTCTTTAAGGACTTTACGCTCCTGGGTGGTCTGGACCCAGACAGTGCCCCTCTGCATGGCGCAACCAGAGTATTCTGTTGTGTGTATCAAGGTGACCGTGCACCCAAATGACTGTGACCAAACCATTGTAAAACCAACAGAAGTAACATTTTGTTGGCTTTTTAGGCTTAGAACTTAGTTTTTGCTCATACTTTTGGGGGAAACATTGAAGGTTGTGATGCCTCAGAAATTCGCAGTCCTCTGGAAGTCCTATGGAAGTGTGTCCCCATGCTGTCTTTGAGCCTGAGCGGTGAATAATTGGAACATGTCCCTATATCTTGGGCTAGTTAGTATTTTAAGATGCAGACTCTTCTACCAGCATTAAATTTCCTTTAAGCAACCAGCCTGCACCTACCATTAGGAAAACAAGCTCCATTAATCAGCCGTTGGCTACACCTTGAGAGATTTTGCCTTTGCCCACTTAATGTGTGCATGGTTTTAACTCGGCACAACCCAGGTGTGCAGGGCGCTCAAGAGGTTTCAGTTGTGTGCCATTGAGACTGTAGGCGTTTTACAGGGCTCTTAACACTACTCCCTGTGTGCCCATCGGCTCTCTCAGGAAACCAGTGTCTTCACGCAATCCAGGCACCACTCCTCTAACTCTGCTTTGAGGGGCCCCAGTAAGGTACCTTGCAAAGAGCGAGTCCTTCTTGAAGGGTGGGGGTTACTTCGTGGAGCCTGGCTGTGTCAGTGTGTGGTAAGGGAGGTGCAGAGCTTCTTACCGGTATTGAGAAGTAGATGGTAAATGGACTGCGCATACCGGGTGCTCCTGGAGACTTGTCTTGTGTTCAGCTGAGACTTCACTCAACCCGACATTCCAGGTTGTGTGTCCTCGCAGACTTGGCTTTCTTCTAAGCTTCAGTTATCTCGTAGATAGCTCCATCATGGTTCTCCCACCACTGGTCCGTGGGTAGAGAAGATTAACATTGGAGTCTTGCTTAGCTTAACCCACACAATGCCAGTATCAATAAATAAGTGATTTGGCATAAAAATTGAGATTTTAGCTTCTCTAGAAAAGATCTGACCACTTTGCTCTCGTGTCCTGTGTGGTGGTCATCAGAGGCGTTGAGTAGCCACTGCTGCTTCCCATGGGCTTTAGCTGAGTTGCCCTCACTCCTGGGTTTTGCTACTCTTTCACACCTATTGAGATTCCTGATTGACTGCCAAGCCCTTTCCAGATTGCGAGCCCACCGTCTGCTTTTCCCTTGAAATTTCTTGTGGAAAAAAACCTCTGGGTGGATGCTTAGTTAGCGTCTGAATCTTATAAGTCATTGCAGGACCTTGAGCTAGGTTGTCCATATAGGGTTTGAGTACAGACTGTTAATACTAGATCATCCATGGACGCGTTAGTGGGCAAATAAGTTTAGGACATACAAGGCTGTTATGGTTTGTGTCCACATGGCCCCCCAAGCCTTATGCAATCATGGATGCAGCTGAGTTGGTTTGTTGTCTGGTGCTGGGATTGGTGGTGTGAGTGCTGCACCCGCCCAGGGGTGGAGTTGGCACACAGTGTAAGGGCGGAAAGAAGGCATGTCTTTCCTCTTTTTACTCTGTTCTTGCTGTTTGTGGTGGCCATGAACAGCTGCCCAGCCGTGCCATCCTGCCTTGGAGCCAGCTGAGTATGGACTGAAACCCCCAAAACTGTAAGAAATAAATCTTCCCTTGCTTCACTTTGGGCATCAGGTATTTTGTCTCAACAAGAGAAAAATAGGGCCGGGAATTTAGTTCAGTGGTGTAAGTTCCTGCATGGAAAGTGCAAGGTAGTGAGTTCGATCCCTGGTACCCCCCGCACCCCCCAAAAGAACTAAGAGAAAAATGAGGACATGAGGTAAAGTGGAATTAGCTTCTTCACTGCAGTGCCTCAGCATGTTTAATAGGTTATGTGCATTAAGTCCAGCATGGTTGCAAGGTGTGTATTGTAAATATGCTGAAGTTAGGTGACACTGTGCTCTCTCTTCATGGAACCAGGTCATCTGTGACCCAGACTTCGGAGTATGCAGGCTGGGGATGTAGCCAGGCGGTAGAACACTTACCATACATAAGGCCCTGGGCCCAGTTGTAGTAACATACATGCACACACGCGCACACACACACAGAGGCTGCACTTTAAGGAATGTGTTAGACACTCCCAGCAGCCCCAAATCCATGAGCATTCAGAGTTTATAGCTGGAAGTAAAAAAAACTTTGACCACAATATTGTGGTCCTTTTGCCTCCTCCTGTTATATGCATAACGTGTTGAAACACCCTTTATCCTGTGTTCTGTGCAATCCTATTATTTATTGCTTTAGCTTAGGAACATGCCAGCTGAAAGTGTTTAGGAATTTTATTATGACAGTTGGGAATAATAGCTGTTACCAGTTTTGAAGTTGTGAACCGTACTTTCGTTCCAGTAATGGATTGTGACAGATCACAGGCGAGGCCTAGGGGTGCTGGTGGAAGTGGTAGTGCGGGGTAGACCCCTGTCCTCTGTTTAGGTGCCAGGCCAGTGGGAAGGCTTGCACAGCTTTGGAGCTGTGTCATCTCTCTGTGGAGTTAGAGTCACCTTCAGCCACCCGAGCAAGGCCGTGCTTCTCACTTCATATCTGAAAATAACTTGACAGGGGAAACAACACAGTTTTCTCACAAAGGCACAGGCAGTTTGTTCTGTGCGTGCAGTGGCTCCTGGGTCACACCTTCCTTGCTGCATTAGTCGGGTCTCTATCATCGTGGGGTCCCTTGTTCTGATTTGTGGCAGTAGAGGACAGGATGGGGGGCTCGGGCCCCGATGACAGTGGCTGCCATCCAGGATGCCTGTGCTGTGCTGGGTGCCAGGCGAGGGCTCTTAGGCCTGTGCTCTTCTGCAGGGAGCAGCAATATGGGGGAAGTGGCTGACTTTGAAGCTAGTTGAGCTCTATTCTGCCACTTAGCATGGTGACTTGGACACATCACTTAAGTTCTTTGAGCTTCAGTTTTCTTATCCTTAGGATGGAAATCAGGCCACGTGTGGTGGTTCACACCTGTAATCCCAGCCCTCAAGAGGCCGAGGCAGGAGGGTCTTGGTTGGAGGCAGCCTGGGCGATTTAGTGAGAGTGTTCATAAGTAAGTAACAGTAGCCAATCTTAGGGGTCTGCCCTAGTTGGGGGTTGCTGTGGGGAGTGCCTACCAAAGGGAGCCTGAGGCAAGCCTCTGGCACACGGGTCACCTCCTGTCTCCTTCCCTCCCCCATGCTGGGCCGGAACCCAGGGCCTCCCCTGAGATACCCCATCCGGATGTTCCGTTTTTCAGCCTGGCTGCCAGCTGGTAGGCATTTTACTTCATGAAGATACAGGGAGCTGTAAATCTAAGGTGCGTGAGCCCTCCTGTGTCATTGTTGCCCTCCAGGGAAAGGTTACATCTGCAGGCCTTCAAGTTTCTTTACTTCCTGTCCAGGGTAGCTCTGGGTGCTTCAGGCTTGTTACCTTGTATCTGCACGGATGCAGTGCGCTGGGCCTGGCTTCAGAGTCCAGAGAATGATGAGAGAGTTGCTACTTGGTGGGGTCACTGAAAAATGCAGGGTGCTCAGCAATCGGGTCTGCTGTCTTCTGTGGCACTAACGAGGGTGGCTCCCGGCTCCTACACCTGACTCTGGCCCTCTCTGGGACTCACTTCTGCCCTGGTGCATACCATTTTCTCCAACCACAGGGAGCAGGGGCTGCCTGGTCCAACCTGCACATTTGCGTTCTCCCAGGCAAGGTGGCTCTGGTGGCCACAGAGCCCAGGTCGCAAGGATGCAGGGTGGGCTTCCATGCCCTGATGGTAGCGTGACCCTCTGTTTGCTGGGTCCCTGGGAATCAACTGTAGCTTTATTTAATGTTGAAGTCCTAAGAATACAAGTTGTGGAGGTCATCATAGCTTCCCTTTATAATCTGTAAGATGAGCCACTTTATGAAATCCGTAATTCAGGATTTTTTAAAAAATTCTGGAGTTTTGCCATATCAATATACTCTCAGTGTACTATTAACTTCATGGTTTTTTTTTAAACTTAGATTTGTTTAAAATATTTTTTAAGAGCAAAGTAAGTCATTATCATAAGTAGGAAACATTGTTGTACATAGTTACTTTAACAGTGGAAAACTCGGTGGTGCACACCTGTCATCCCAGCACTTGGGAGACTAGGGCAGGGGGGTCCCTCTGAGCTCAAGGCCAGCCTGAACTGCATAGTGAGACCCTGTCTCAGACAAAAAAAAAAAAAAAAGTTACTAAAACGAGGGGTGACGTTTTCAAACACTGATCTGCGCACCTCCCAGAACCACCTGTGTGTGTCTCTGGGCGATGGGCTCGGTCGGCCCTGTGTGGCAGGGTCCCTGAAGGGCTGAGCCAAGGTCACGTGTTGGAACTGCAAGCAGGAGAGCTGGGGCTCCTGCTCCCAGGACAGTGCCCTATCCCCACGTCGCTGCCAAGTAGTGGCAACAGGGGCCCAATGTCTGTGGTGCTGTTTACTTTTTATCTGTCATGGTGCTGAAAACAGCACAGGGAGTGAGATAACCCATTTGTCTCCCCCATGCACACGATGGGGAAGTGCCTCGTGTGATAGGAGAGTCCCCTCAAGGTCACGCTGACAGAGGGACCCAGTGGCCTTGCTGCAGTGGCTCATCTTCTGGCGGAAGGTGCTTGTTCTGAACTGAAGGCAGGAGTAGCTCCTTCTTCAAACCTCAATTGGGCCAGGAGGCTGCGCGTGAGCTCCAGCCGCTGGGTGTCCTCAGGAATTGGGGTGTTTAGGGCAGTGGTAGGCGGAGGGCAGAGCGGTAGCCTAGTGGTCAGGGAGCCTAGACTGTCGAGCGGTGGTGGCAAGCCTCCGGTATGCGTGCCGCAGCCAGCCATTTGTTATTAAAAGGTTCGCCGACACTGCCCTATAGAGTCAGAGGGCCCAGGTTTTGATACTGTGTCTGCCTCTTCTAAGATGTTAGATGGCTTTGGGCTGATGACTCTATTTCTCTGAATCTGTTTTTCTTGTCTCAGACATAATAGGGAAACACTGTTGGCTAATGGAATTGGAATATAATGTGCAGTGTAATATAAATGTGAGTTACAGCATGATTACATATTTCATGTGGAGCTTGAGTCTGACATCTGTGAGTCTACTGAATTCAGAGCTGCTCTCCCACAGTGGAAATTTCCCAAGTTACGGATGACTGAAACAAAGCCTTAGACATACTTTAGAAGAATACTCATCGATTTAATCAAAATTAGAAATAGGGGATTAGTATAAAACTTCTAAAATATCAGCTTTTGGGAAAATGATATCAAGAAGCCCGACAACTACTGTATAACTTAGAAGGGTGCCTGAGGGTTCAGGGATACATTCCATTTCCTTCCTTGCTTCCTTTTTATGACACTAGGAATCGAGCCCAGGCCTCGTGCAAGCTAGGCACTGCTCTACCCCAACCTGCATGAGCTGTGTCCCCAGCCCTTTTTAATTCTTTTATTTTATTTTGAGACAGGGTCTTTAAATTGCCCAGGCTGACCTCAAATGTGTGATCCTTCTGTGACAGCCGCTGGATCATCTGGGATTACAGGTGTGTGCCACTGTGCCCAGCTCACATTCCCTCCCTTAGCAAGAAGGGCAAAGAGTTGGAAGCCAGGACGCATCCTCAGAAAGAAGTGGGGATAGTGTGGCCTGTGTGTTGGGGTTGTCCCATCTGGGACTGTGATCCGATACACAGCACTGTGTACTTTTCAGGACTCCTACCAAGAAGCATGTCCCTTTCCCTGTTCTGTGCTGTCCTAGATTCACTGTCTGCTGGGAATGTTTGGGGCCTGTTTTGTATTTGTCAATGCTGGAGATTGAACCGGGCCTCTGCTCTGAACTGCATCCTCTGCTGTGTGTTTGTGTTTGCAGTTCTGGGCATTGAACCCATGGGCTTTGCACCGAGCTACAGCTCTGGCCCATTTCTTAGTTTATTTTTTATTTTGAGACAAGATCTGAGTAAGTCACCAACGCTGCCCAGGGTGAGCTCAAACTCTCAGTCCTTCTTAGCCTCCCAGAGTGCTGGGGTTACAGGTGTGAGCCACCCCACATGGGGCAGGACTAGTAATCCTGACAACCTTACCTGCTGTGACTTTAGTGATCATGAGAGGGCCTCAGTGGAGTAGCAGCTGCTGCAGCCTTCCTATGTCTTTAATCCATCTGCCTTACTGCTGAGTCCTTGGTGCCAGCCAGTTCAAGCTCGTGCAAAACCCACCTGGAGGGGAGCTTGCAGGCAGGGCCAGAGTGCAGTGACACAGGGTTTCCTGTATCCTGTTCTGGAGCAGGCACCCCACCCCGAGAATTGGCTGTGTGTCGTCCACAAGTGCTCATGCAGGCGTCCATCCTCTATGGCCTGGGTGGGGTGAGCCAGCTGCCCCCAGGGTCCATGTAGCACACGCTGCATGCTGGCTTTGTGCCCTTGTGAGCCCTGCAGCCCTGGGCACCACTGCCATGGTGCAGAGGCAGCCACAGGCCCTACAGAAACTGGTGGGCGTGGTGCTTGCTTCTCAGTCACATAGCTCATGGCTGGGACACCGTCCCCAGGGCCAGCAGCAGGAAGAAGAGGTTCATTCCGGCCTCTGTTCCAGTCTCTGGTGGCGAGGGGAGACCTGGGTGGAGGAGAGCTGCTCAGAGGGCAAGAGCACGGGGAGGGAGAGCAACCCGCCAGGTGACAGCCCCGCCTGCTAGCATCACCCTTGAGACATGCACCCCATGAATCAGTTACCTGCCCAGAGCCCCACCTGTGAGCACAGGAGGCTCTGGGGACCCAGCTAGGTCTGAGCCTCAGAGTTAACTAGAAGTTAACTCTGGGGCTGTGCGTAGATCTGTGTCCCCGGCCCTTGTTTGGTTTGGTTTTTTTTATTTTGAGCCAGGCTCTTTTTTTTTTAAATGAGATTTTATTGGTGCATTTTAGATACTCCTAACGATCACATTCATCATCGAGGATCTACCTGTACCTGATACAACTGGGTTCGTTTTTTTCTTTCCCCATTTCTCTCTCCTCCCCATGTACAAAAGCTTTGTTTCCATTTTTTCCTTTTCTCAGTCTTTTTTTAAACTTTTCCCTCTTTCCTCCCTCGCCCCCATTTCAACATTTTCTTCCTGTTTCATAACACCTGTAATAATACATTTTGGCCCTAATTTATAATTTCAATTTTTCACACCAGAGAAACAATGTAGTGTTTATGCAAGTGTCTGACTTGCGCCACCTGAGAATATGGTCTCAAGCCGTGTCCATTTACCTAGAAATGTCTTAAGCGTATCCTTCTTTGTGGCAGAGTAGTACTCTGTTGTATTAAAAAACCACATCTTCATCCATTCACTGGTTGATGGGCATTTGGGCTATTTCCAAGATTTGGTGGCTACAAACTGTACCGCTGTGGGTGTGCGTGTGTCACTGCAGTGCTTTTAATTCTTTTGGGAAGATACAAGAAGAGGAATAGCTGGTTGACCTCTAGTCCAAGTTTTTTGAGGACTCTCCACACTGATTTCCACAGTGGTTGCACCAGTCTGCACTCCCACTGACAGTGGAGAGGGTTCCTTTCCCCACAGCCCCTCCAGGATTTGTTGTTGGTTTATTTCTTGGTAACAACTGTCCTTTCTGGAATGAGACGGAATCTCAGTGTTGTTTTGGTTTGCATCTCTCAGATGATAGGGATGCTGAACATTTTTTCATATATTTGCTGTTTGTATTTCTTCATCTGAGAAATGTATTCATTTCAGATTCCCATTTTTGGACTAGGTCTTTAAATTTGAGGTGGCCTTTTTGTTCTGTTTTTTTTTTTTTTTAGCTCTTTATATATTCTAGTTGGTATCCTTTGTCTGAGGAACAGCTGGAAACAGTTTTTCCCACTCCACAGGTTGTCTCTTCACTCTGTGATTTATCTTGCTGTGCAAAGGCTTTTTAATAAGCTGATATCAGTTGTTGATTGTTTTTTGTGATAGTTCCTGTGCAGTTGGGATTTTGTTCATAAAGTTTTTGACCAGTGTCTTCAAGAGTGCCAACTATTTTCCCTTCCAGCAGATTTAATGTTTTTATTTTAATATTTGGCTCTTTGATCCATTTTGATTTTAGTTCAGTGCATGGTGAAAGAGACAGATCTAACTTTAATCTTCAGGATGTGGAAAGCCGGTTTTTCCAGCACCATTTATTAAAGAGGCCATCTTTGTTCAGAGACTATGTTTGTACCTTTGTAAAAGATGAGGTGGCTGAGTATGTCTGAAGTTGTTCTGCATCTCCTAATCTGCTCCGTTGACTCTTGAGTCTGATACCATGCTGGTTTTATTATGGTAGCTTTGTAGTAGGATTGTGGCGTCCCTGCCTTGTCTTTGTGGCCCAGGATTGCCATTGTGATTCTAGGTGAGACAGGCTGGTACTAAGTTGCTGCTGCGTGGCCGAGCTGCCTCCGCCCCCGGTGTGCTGAGGTTACGGGTGTGCACCACTCTTCCCGCTTACCGAAACTTACTGGAGACAGGTGATTGCACACCCATGGTGACTGACTCTGGGCCTGGACTGCAGCAGGGCCTCTCCCTGCATTGCTGTCTTCATCCCTTGCAGTCTGCTCTGTAGCAGTCAGGGAGCCCCATTAAATACCTAAACGCAAGCGCCTGTCCAGGACTGCGCGTGTGTCTCCCCAGTGAGGCCTGTGGCAGCCTGTCAAGCCCGAGCTCCTCTCGGTGGCCCTGTGTGAGCCGCCTGCCCCTCCTGCATGGCGCCTTTGCTCTGTGCACACTTGCTTTGGCCTCAGGCCTTTGTATGAGTCGTGAACTGTGCCTGGGACTCCTTCCTTTTCTCCTCCTGTGGCCAGCTCTTGGTCACTCTTCAGGTTGCACAGGGACATGCCCACAGCCTCCCAGGACTGCAGTGGGTTGAGGATTTGCTTGTGTGAAGCATTTCTAATGACCAGACTGCCCTTCGTTCAAGGACTTTTGCTGTCCTTTGAGAAACTGAGTGAATGATGTCATGCTGGGGTCTCGTGCATTGGGAAGAGAGGCTGGTGGGTGTCTCTGGGCCTGTGACGGCTGGAGGGCCCCAGACCCAGGGGGCAGGGCGTCTTGAGCGCCGTCCTTGGTTTTAAGTATCACGGTTGTCTTTGGTTATTTGATGCAAGATTTTTATCTTCATGTCGGTCCCAGGCAGTCTCAGACTGCTGGGCACTTGGGGACCAGCTCAGCACAGCCGGTAGGGACGTTGGAGCACCCTGAAGTGCTGCTCCAGCTGCTTTTCAACCCACCGAGTGCGGTGGGCGCTGCTGAGGGTCGCACCCAGAGCGGTGGCTCTGAATCCTCCTGTGCTTGAGGGCAGCTGGCAGATCGTGAAGATGGCGTTTAATTTCCCGCTTCGAACAAGATAGATGAGTGCGTTCTGTCTCCCGTGTGCGTCTGTAGGGAAATGGCGGCAGCTGGGTCTTGTTCCTTCACAGACAAGCTCGCAGACGTGGCCTCCTGCTGTCAGATGCAGGAATCCGGACATGGCCCGGACACGTTGTTCAGAAGGACCTTTGTGTGTCTGTCGCTTACACCCTCGCTTGAGAGACCTGGACGTTCTTAGGGTGACACATGTGAAGAGTTGTCACTTTTGAGCAAACTGGGTACGGGTTACTGGGAGTTGAGCCCAGGGCCTTTGCACTGAGCTACATCCCAAGCCTCTCCTCTGTGTGTGTGTGTGTGTGTGTGTGTGTGTGTGTTTTCTTTTGTTTATTTTGAGACAGAGTCTGAGTCACTGAGTCACCCAAGCTGGGCTGGAACTTGGTGATCCTCCTGCCTCAGCCTCCCTGAGTGCTGGGACTTCAGCTGAGTGCCACCATGCCCGGCTTCCTGTTTGACATTCTTGGGTACTGTGTGGCCAGGGAAAGAATCCAGCTGTAAAACCTTTCCAGCAAAGAATTCTGTATAGTTTCCCTGCTCCCCTCCCCCTTAAAATGTAGCATACCTGTTCTGTTTAATGGCTGCTTGAGAACACTTAGCTTGTAAAAAACACATTTGGGGAAGTATTTTATTTCAAGAGACACATCATTAAGACCACAAGAAAGTTCAGTAAACGGGAAGGTGTGTGTCCCGTCACGGCCGCGGCACGTTACTCCAGGTAGGGGAGGAGACTGGTGGCGGCCCTCAGCAGAGGCCTCTGCTCTCTCCCCTGTGCTACAGCTGTGCTCTGTGCATTGTACTGAGTGTTTAAATCTGATTCTCTCTAGATTGCTGCTAAAATTGATTCCATTCCTCACTTGAATAATTCCACACCTCTAGTGGACCCTTCAGTGTATGGATACGGAGTGCAGAAGCGGCCCTTGGATGACGGAGGTAAGTTGCCACCAATACCTTGCCTTTCGAGCTGGCAGTGGACCCACCAGGTTGGCTTCCCTCTGTCAGCTGTGCACCCCCCAGAGGAAGGGTAGAGGGGAGGCATTCAGGGTGATTCCCCCCCCCCCCCCGCAGCCTACCAGCCTCTAACTAAGTTCCTTGTGGCCCTGATAGCAAAGGACCCTTCCAGCTACGCCACGGGGCAAAGGCATGGCCCACTTGGGAGCTTTGTTGGGTTTCAGCCCGCTCTTCCAGTGCACGGGTGGGGACTAAGCCCCCTCTTTCTCCTGGGAAGCTGAGATTTGGTGTGTGGCTGAGGCAGTGGCTGTATCCAGGAAAGGGAGGAGAAGCAGTGACCTTTCCGAAGCCTCACTGTGGGGTTGTCACCCTCTCTGTTTATGACAGGCTCACTCTGTTCATTCATTCATTGTGTTGCTGGTTGGTTCGTGATCTCTGCTCCCTGCCAGCAGGACTCGAGCCCACTCCACTTAGCAGCGTGCAGCAGCAGTGCCTTAGCGGAGTTCGTGCGTGTGTTTCCGCCCTGCACGGGGCTCCCTTTGGCCTGTCTGTCTGGGGCTGCTCTCTGGGAGTAGCGTGCCTCGGGCTGTGCGTGCATCTTCTCTGTTGTTCTTTCTGTCCCACACGCTCAGTTGTGTGCTTGCTTCTGTGCTGGATCCAGCAAAAGGATCCGGGTACAGAGCAGGGGGTGCCGTGTAACTGCCTTTTCCAAGACAAGTGAGCAGAATGTAACTTACTGTGGCCACGTCCTCCAGTCCCTGGGACTTCTGAGGGAGCAGATGCCACTGTTGGAGGCGGAGGAACTTTGTTAGATAGTTGTTGACCCTTGCTGGGTGAAGTGCTCTCTCGAATGAGGCAGCTCCTGTCTGTCAGTGGTGATGTGCATGCCGCCCTCCAGAGGCATTGAAGCGGGGAGACTTGGGGCTGCTGCTCAGCACCTGCGAGCGTCTTCTGCTCACCTGGGGCTGGAGGTGTCTGTGTTCCGGCCCAGTGGCACCTGCAGCACACGGTGGCCTTGGCACCTTGCACAGGGAGGGCAGTGGTGCTTTGCCTCCTCCAGCATGGGGTCAGTGTAACAGTAAAACCACGGTCTGCTCCCAAGCGCAGGTCTCCCTGGTGAGCAGCGTCTCTGTCCGGTGCTTCCAGAACTCAAGTTCAGCATGTTCACACCTCGCTTGGCCTTCCTTCTCTGCGTCACAGAGCTGACCCTTAGGTGGGCGGCAAACAGGGCGCACCTACTGCTCGCACGTGGAGTGCGCTGGCCGGTACAGATGTGCGACTCTGATCTGTGCTTTGCGAACCCATTTGAAGGGACCGGCGTTCATCCGTACTGAGCAGCAGGCAGCAGCCCAGGGCTGACACGCCAGAACCCATAACCGCTCTGTGCGCCGCCGCTTTCCTGTGTGTGCACTCCTGGCACTTCGTGCTGCCTTTGGAGAGCAAATTCTCCAAACGGGAAGCACACGTGGCTACCCCTGCCCCTGGCACAGCCAGCCTCCTCCAGGAAGAAGGCAGAGCAGATGTACAGGCTTCACTGGATGCCCGGCCTCTGAAGAGCAGGACCTTCCCTCAGGCCTTTGATACTCTTCATAATAGTCTGATAAAGTCATTCTTGTTTCGTTTTGTTTTGTGTTTTGAACTTGGTATGTAGCCCAGGCTGGTTTCAAACTCCCAGCAGTGCTCCTGCCTCGGCCTTCAGAGTGCTGGGATTAGGGGATCGCTGGCGTGCATACCATGCCCAACCGTTACTCCCCTCCTGTGGAGTACTGTAAGGAAAAGTTTTCCTCTGTGGGTAAAATCAGGCTTGCCGCTCAGCAGGAGCCCAGGGACCCGTGTGGGCTGCCGCAGCCCGGCTATGTTCATTGTCGTCTAGAGTCAGTGAGGACAGAGCGGACGTGTGAGCAGCAGGTTGTGCTGGAGCCGGTGCCTGAGGTCCTGGCCACTGCGTGCCTCACAGTCCGGGGCTCTCATGTGAGCAGAGTCTGGAAAAGCCTAGAGGTGGAGCAGGACACAGGACACACAGGTCCCAGCGCTCCCCTCACTGTGGCAGCGGGGCTTTGTTTGGCTTGGCTGGGTGGTTTGGGACAGACGCTCCCGGATTGAGTTGTTAGCAATGTGACCTTTCCCACTCTGCTGTGAGCAGAGTTCTTTAACCTTTCCGAGGGCAAGGTCCAGTGCCCTCACTGCTGAAGGTGTTATCCAGGCCTGCTAAAAACATCGGCTTTGGGGGTAACCAGAAGGCACCTGAAAGCAGGGTTTATTTGGGGCGGTGAGGTTTGCAGGCGGGGGCCTGCATCGGAGTATCGAGCACGTGGATTTGTTGTGCTGTAGAGGGGACCTGCGGAGTGCAATTCAGAGCTGCCTGCTAGGGCCCATGTGGAGCCCAGAACCTGGCCCAGGGCCTGCTGCATGTCTTCCTGGCAAGGACAGCCCTTCTGCTGCCACCCAGCTTCCAGTTGAGTCGCTTTTACTATCAGCATCTGCAATGTTGACACCTACACTTCTAACAGTCTGGAGTGTGCCCCTGGCACTGCCCCCACTTGGGAATCCTGCCCTGCTCTCGCTGGCGCGTGCTCCCATCTGCCACCATCTGCCTGCTGCACTGGAGCCAGTCTGACCTGTTTGCGTCCTCTCATAGGGCGATGTGAGCTCCAGCTGCCGGAGCGGTGTAGATCTTTTCGCCCTGGCCGCCTTCTGCCTGGTGGGGCGGCTGCAGCTTCCTCCTGCAGAGCTCGGGGCTCCTGGCTGGGCACAGCTGCTGCTTCCCCTTCCCTTCCAGCCCTCCCCTCTCTGTGAGCCTCCCACCCACTTCACCTGGGAGCACTCAGTCACAGGCTGTCTGGTTGCACAGTGGCCCATTTGTCCCCTCCTCTGTTGTGCGGGGACTGGAGTCTCTGTGGCAGGGACCCCCGTTCCTGAGCACAGGGAGTGCAAGGAGGAGCGGCCCTGCCTGCCTTCTCACTGTGGCTGGCATTGGTGCTCACCTCTAAGGAGCGGGCACTAGATGGAGAGGACAGGTCAGCTCCACGTTGGCTGCCGCAGATTCACCACGGTGGGCATGCGGTTCCCTAAAGCCCTGGGCAGCAGGTAGTTGGGGCTACAGGAATGCCACCCACACAGGTGAGCCAGCGTGGCCAGGCTCAGTGTCCGTGGGCAGCTGCCCTCAGGCTTGTGTGCGCTTTCTCGGGGTCCTCACACTTGCTCAGCCTCGGTTAGGGAAGAGACACTGCTGTGCCTGACCAGTCTCCTGTAGCATGGCAGGGTTTCTCGCCTTGCTGTCCTTGGCCCTCAGAAGCCAGGTGACCTCGTGTTCACTCTAGAGCTGAGGGACACTGGAGAGGCCACCATGTCCCCTCAGCATTCCTCACAGGGCGTGCAGCCTCTGGGGTTTCTGCCTAGGACAGTCCGGGGGTGAGTGGGGCTTTCCCCCGCCAGGTGACTGTGACGCAGACCTGCCTCCCCCCCAAGGATGGCTTTGGTGCTCTTTGGTGTGGCACCGCATTGCCGAGGATTTGGCTCATTGAAACAGGGTCTCTGCAGGCCAGGCTGGTCTTGAGCTCTTTGAGATCCTCCTGTCTCAGTCCTCTAAGTGCTGACACACCAGTGGCTTCACTTTGTTTAACAGTGTTTTCCGAGGTGAAGGAAGATTTTTTTTGGGTGTACTATCAAATGAAATGCTTATAGGAAGATTAGAAGAAAACAGTTTTATAATCTTCTCAGGTCTTGTTTCAGCCCTCGTGGCATAGGGCAAAGAGAAGGAAAAAGCGGAGTGAAAAGGAAATGTTTTTGTCTGTTGATTTTTGGGGAGTGGACTGTTTTGTTTGTTTTTCTGTGCTGTGGGTGAGCCTAGACCCTGAACACTGAGCCATGCCCCCAGCCCTTTCGCTTCTATTCCTTGCTTTTGAGACAGATACTCATTGTATAGTTTATACCGGCCTTGAACTCAAGATCCTCCTGCCTCTGCCTTCAAAGGCTGGCATTACAGGCATGTGCCTCTGTGCCTAGCAGAAAGGTTGATAAGAGGGGTGAGAGCCAGCTGTTGCACACACGAGTGATCCCAGCTTCTTGGGCTGAGGCAGGAAGGGCTCAGGTTTGAGGGGAACCTGGTAAGTGAGGTGAGATTCTGTCCCAAAATAAAACTAAAAAAGCAGGAGATGAGGAGAGCTGGCAGCAACCAGGACCAGGATGGCTGCTGCTGCCTGGCCTGGGCCCACACTCTCCAGTGGTTGGCCTTGGGGAGGGGCAGTGGAAATCTGCGCTGCCAGTTCTCTCCTGTCGGGTGGCTACTGGAGGGTGCAGAGCAGTGGTGGAGCCCGATCCGGGCAGGAGAGGCGAGTTCATGCCCGAGCACTCGCCCTCAGGCTGCTGCGGGAGGCCTCTGTGTCTGCTGGCTCCTCGCCCTTCTTGAGCAGGTTCGAGGTCCTCAGATGGGGACTCAGTGACTCTTTGCTGCTGACTCGGGAGCTGAGTGGTGGTGGTGCTTGGCCGATGTGCGGAGTAGTGGATGTTTCCTGTGGGAATCCCATGCACAGTGCCTGGTCAGAGTGTGACCCCAGCTCATAGCCAGCACCGGCGTGGGCTTGGCCTCTCGGCCCAATGGGGGCGAGGGGTTCACGGGGATCTCTATGTTTTCAGAGCTCTTAGGGAGTAGGTTAGCCAGAGCAGCTTTCCACCTAGCTGGACATGAGTCACCCAAGCAGCTCTCTAAAACTGCCCTTGACAGCATGGGCTCTCCAGAAAAGGGTTTTGCAGTCCTACACAGCTACACACATACCTCCCATACGGCCCCCAGTTACACTCCTGAGTATTCATCCCTGGGAAATGAAAACATGATGTCCACATAAAATCCTCTCACAAACCTGTGGCAGCTGTGTTCATAGCAACCCCTCCCCAGGATGCATGTCCTTCAGCGGAAAAAGGGCCAAATGGCCCTGTCAGCTGTGCCGTGGAATATTACTGAGCAGGAAAAAGGAACTGGCAATGCAGTAGCAGCCTGGACACAGCTCCAGGAAGTCCACCGCATACAAAGGCCGGCCAGCACCTTGGGGTGCACAGTAGGTGAGAGACAGCAGGGACTGGGGTGGAGCCCTGAAGGGGGTCTGCAGGGGGGAGGAAGAGCACAGCGCAGTGGGAGCTGTGTGCTGCCGCCTGGAAGGGATGCCCAGTCACAGCCAGATTACAGCAGAGCTGGGGGCAACCCCAACTCTGCCAGTCGTCAGCTGTGCGATTCTGAGGAGGTGGCTTACTGTCTCCGAGCCTGTTCCTCACCTGTAAGCAAGAGTCACTGGCAGTCTGAGTACGTGAGTGACTTTCCATCCCAGCCCGTTGGTATACGCATATTAAAGCACAGGTGACCGCAAGGTGTGTGGAGTCCACGCCCCTCTCGTGTTGCATGGTTTTCTGTCATTTCCAAAGCGCCTTCTGACTCCCTGTCTTGGTTTTACCGGCTCACATCAAAGTGAGCCCATTGCTGCAATAGACGCTGTGGGGTCAGTGTCCTCTCACTAGCTGGAGTTAGTGTCCTGTGGCTGGCTGCTCCTGGGGCAAGGCCTCGGCCCTGCACTCTTCTGGGCTTCTGCATCCCAGCTCGGCCTCCTTTGGGTCTCAGCTTCTGGCGGGCACAGAGTGGCTCCTCCACGATTGCATCCCCAGGCCTGGCCCGGTGCTTGACACCTGCAGATCAGAGGGCAAGTTGATGCTGCTGAAGAGAGCAGGTGGCGGTGGCCTTGGGCACCTGATGGGGCTGCGGGGGCACCTGACTGCCAGGAGGAGCCACAATGTTGAGATAAACTTGAATTTTCTCTTGCTTTTGAAAAATAAATAATTTGCAAAATTAGTAACAGGCTACTTGCCAAGGGCCTTCAGGCTGAACTCTGGGAAGCAGCAAGACATAGGAAGCCTTTGTGTCACCCCAGCTCGCTGGGTGTCACCACCTCCGACAGGGCCTGGGAAAGTGTCATCCATTGCAGTAATCAGAGGCCACGGGACTCCTTTGGTGTAGGTTTGGCAGCTACAGAGAGTGCCACCCCTCGCTGGGCTGCTCACCTGTGCTGACCCGACCAGGGAGTGTGGGGCCAGTGGGTGACCCTTAGGGTTAGCCCCTATTGGAAAGCTGGCCTTGTTGCCCAGTAATAACTTCGGGAGAAGAAAAAGGAAAGGCGTTTTCCTTCTTCCCTCATATCTCTGGGCACTGACTGGTTTGGGGGTTTTTTCTTTTTTTTTTCTTTTTTTTTTTTTTTTTTTGAGCATTATTGAAATTGGCAAAGGAGTACTCTTTGGGAAAGATTTGGTATGTTGTGGGGTGACTCGTTCTCTGTGAGAACCATTTTGCAGGCGCAGCGCAGCGCAGGCAGCCTCTCATTATGTTGCATGCAGGATAAAGGCACCCGCCCCGTGCCGTGGCTGTGCTAGAATTGAGCTAAGGGACTTGGGAAGAGGATGAGGCCTTGGTGGCCAGCTCGCACAGTTAGCAGGAGGTTAGCAGGGCTGATTTTATTCAGCATTTTCCTCCTTTGCAGTAAAATGACTGCACTTACCATGAAACTGAACTTGCTGGGTTTTCCTGGGGCCTCCTGCCTCACCCATCCCCCAGGAGGATGGAGGAGAGGTCCTGCTCCAGGAGCTGGACACGCCTTTGCCGTGTGAGCTGGGGTCTCTCATGGCTGTGCTGATTTTCAGGTTTTGGCACCAAATGTCACCTGTCCTAGGGGAGGGGACTTAAGCCTTGGGGCACAGCGTGCACCTGGTTTGATTTCTCTCCTGGGTGGCATGGCCCTCTGCAGTCCCTCTCTGTGCACAGTTTTACTGCCCATCTCCCTGTGCACCTGGCCCTTGCCTTCGAAGAGCGGAGTGTAGAAATGGTATTGTTACAGTGTATGCTTTGTCAGTGGGAAGGAATTTGCATGTTGATGGTGAGTGCAAAATTGCAAATGCCTTCTGAGCAGAGGTCCTTGCTTGTCCCCCTGAGTCTCATGGGGGCACTGCCCTCCGCTCTGTTCCTGCAACTCTGCTGAGACTGCCGAATCTGAAGGTTGCGGGCTGTTTACTGGCTCTGACCTAGCCAGCGGTGGCCAGGGGCCTGGTTGGTGGGCGGCTCTGCTTTGGCTTCCTGGTCCTGGACGTCCAGCGCCAGGGTCGTCAGTGGATCTTTTACCTCTGGAGGATGAGTCCTGAGGCAGGCGGGGGGTTGCGTTTGACCCACAGGTGAGCTGCCTCGGTATCTCTGTGTGTTGGGCTTCTTTCCTATGCCCTCAGTGGTAGACCGTCCTCCTCTGGGTGAGGCGTGGCCTGTCCTAAGCTGGAGAGAGTTCAGTTTTGGAGTGAAATGGAAATCTTGAGCACACTCTATCCCAAGCAAGAGCATTTGTTATATTCAAAGTAGGTATGCAAGAAGAACATTTTAAAAGTCAGAAAACAATTCCCTTATCCCTGAGATAAGCAGATTAACGTATATAGTGTCAATATTTTGACTGTAGACCATTATCTTGCTATTGATCCAGAAGGAGTACGCAGGTATAATTTCAGCAAGCTTAGTAGCTCTGCTTACTTTTGCTAGTATTGTTTCTGTGTGCTTTTTCATCTCTCAGAATGTCATGATCTGCGTCTGTGCTTTTGTCTCTGATCTGCTGCTGTCCAGGCTGAATGACAGGACTGTGTCTGAACAGGAAGAGCAGGGGAGCTGTGTATTTCCTGTGTCAGACCTCTGCTCTCTGTCCTGAAGTTGATGCGATGGGTCCTTTCCAGCTTACCTCTTGTTTGTTCTTTAATAATTTTCTTCAGAACTGTGTATTCGAATGCTCTTTTTAGCATCTTGAAAGGTGCATTCAGTTCTTTGCAGTATGTTTGGGGTTTGTACTTATTTATTGTCGGTTGACTATATTTCCTGAGCTGTGTGTTTCAAAAGAGAAATGCCACAGAATCATTTTTGCTGGTGGCTGGTGAAGGAGACACTCATCAATAGCTGAAAGAGGAGAAACTGGAACAAAAAGCGTAGCTAAAGTGGTTTTGTGGGAATGTGATTACAGAGTCCGTTTTAATAATGAGAACCTGCTTGGCGCTGTTGTCTCTGTGAAATGGGCTTGAGAGGCGGCTGTGCGTTCTTAACGTCCACTGCGTGCAGATCGGAGCCGTGGGCCCGGCTGGGGAGGAGGCGGTGGGGGCTTCTCCCCCGGCCACCAGGAACATATGTGCATGTTCTTAGGAACTACAGCTGCCGCGGAGCAGCCTCTAACAATGCTTCCGAGGAGGTTAAATCTTCTCATTTGTTTTTAAAAGCGAGTGAAGAAGCCCTGTCCTCCGGCTCTCCATTGAGTTGGGGTCCCAGGCAGGAGGGAGGCAGGAAGTGGAGGGATTTGGCAGGCAGGATTTTCTCCCAGGCTGCTCAGCATGTGGACACCCGGATCGATTTCTTATCCTGCGTTCAGCTGGACGCTGGACTATAGGCTGTGTTGATGGCGACCTCCCCTCCGGTTTCATATCATGTAACGCATTCATTGCAGCCACTGAGCCTAAATTACTGTTTGCTTTCTTCCTGCCTAGCTCTTCTCCCCCTGAAATGGTAAGAACTCGTGTAAGGATGAAGTTAGTTTATCCGTGCTAATGCTTTGATTTTTCTTTTCTCTTTTCTCTTTGCCACAGTAGGTAACCAGTTAGGGGCCTTGGTACATCAAAGGTAAGCAGTGGGTTATGTTTTATTATTTATTGATCATTTCTAATTGTTTATTGATCGGCCATCTGTACTGGAGTGTTAGGAAGTCAGAGGTTGGGAGTGTGAGAAACCACGGGCTCCGTTTCTCTGAGCCTTTCCGAGACATGCGAGCCCAGGAAGGGGGCGGGAGAAGGAAGAGACCTTGGGAACGGCCCGGGGTGCAGCGGTTCCCAGCACCCTGAGTGCTGAGCCGCTTAGGCTTCTGGTGACACACAGTTAATTTTAAAGGAGAGAGGGAAACATTGTCCATCCAGTGTCAGGGTTTTGCCCGTGGCTTACGAGCCTTGAACACCTTCCATCCAGAGCGTGAGGCCCTGGAATCACAGAGCACTCCAGGTGCTGAATGCCAGCTCCCTGGCCACTGGGACATGCAGCGCCTCAGCCGGCACCGTGGTCCTCCGCCTCTGTCTCCCCTCACAGCCTTCCACTGACTGTGCATAAAGATGACTGAGCGGTTAAAAAGCCAGCCTGTGACACAGGCTAGTTGTTGTCACAGTATCGTCCTTAAAAGGGGGATGGGGCTCTGTGCTGGTTTCTTTCTCATGAGGTCACAGCTCTGTCCTCTGCATTCTACGTGAATTCTGGCAGAGTTTAATAACCAGACATCAGCTAACCAAAACATTTATCCCAGGCTTAATTAATTAATTAAAATAATGTAAATGAGGCTGCTAGCATCAGGCCCTGGATTTCCTGTCACACCATAGCAGGGCATTAACTTCCCTGGTGACAGTGCTTGGTGCCTTAGACAGCCTCAGCCTCCCCTTTAAAAAGGGCCCTTCCTTCCAGGAAGCCCACAGCAGTCACCTCGGGATGTCCTTTTCCCAGAGAGCCTGCTTAGGGTCCCAGAGGCCTGGAAACTGCCCAGTGCGGTGCCTGGAAGGCCTGTGGTCAGTCCCTAAGTGCCGTCTTCTGAGAGGAGACAGCTCGTGTGACACACAATGGGAGCGGCAGCCGGGCCTCCACACCAGGCTGCTGTCACCTGCAGGGCAGCCAAGGCACACAGGCTGACAGCCCCTGATGTCTGCTGCGAGGTGTCAGGCCGCAGGGCTGACTTGGGGCGAGGGCGTGCGTCCCCAGAGAGCCAGCAGAGCCAGCCCTGTTGCACACGGGCTGGGTACGTGAACTGCACGAGGGAGACTGTTTGATCCCGTCACAGTGACGGAGTGGCAAATGCTGTTTACAGGGCTGCATTGTTTCTAAGTGCCGCACTTTCCCGAAAACTGTGCACTTTATTCAGTCCTCATGATGGGTAAAAATCCAGCTGTGTGAGAGATGTTTAAAAATGCTTGCTTTTTTTTAAAAAAAAACTACTTGCATTTAGCTTCCTCCCAAGTTAAATGTTTAGATTTAATTGCTTTCTGGGGTGTTGGGCAAATTGGATATTGTCCAGAGTACAGTGTATGGCAAATTTGAAGGTTTGCTTGAAAGAGCCAGTGCAGTAGTTTAAAAGAAAGCAAAGACACAGAATGGACAAGCTGGTGGTTAGTGGACTGGTTCACAGGTGAGGGAGGTGTCCCCCCTCCTGCTCACACCGAGTAGGCCCCTGTTGGGTGCTCGTTCCCTCAGAAGCACCTCACCTACAAGATGCAGATAAATTGCGGGGAGGCCGGGAGGGAAGCCATCCTCTGGAGAGGACTCCTCGGACTCCAGAGGACCTTTAAGGTCCTGTGGATGATGGCTCAGGTGCCAGGGAGGACCTAGTGAGGGGTAAACCAGGCAGCCGGGAGCAGCTGTGCGAGGCAGCGGCAGCTCCTAGGGGAGGTAATGATTCAGAAAACCCAGCAGTTTCCTCCTCTGATGGGAGAAGATGGAGGCTTGCTCTTTTCAAGGAGCAATTGCCAGGGGCTTCATTAGCTAACATTACCAAGGTTGGCAGTTTATTGGTCTGCCAGCATCACTTATTTCAAGTCTGACAACATCACCAGCACGAGAAATTTGAGAATCTAAAATAGCTGTGGAATTTTTTATTCTACAATTTTTCCAAAATGTTTTTGTTTTTAGGGCGGTCATAACGGAAGAATTCAAAGTGCCGGATAAAATGGTTGGGTTCAGTAAGTATCTGCCTTACCCTCACTTTCCCTCGCTGCTGTCTGTCCTGTTTGCTCTGATCTCTCTCACGTAAGCCTTAGCCATAGCCATAGCCATAGTCGGAAACTTCTCGCATGCATTTGCACAGCCCTGAGTGCTGCAGGTCTCTCTGGCCACAGGAGAGCCCTGAGTGCAGGGCAAGGATGCGCACCCCATCCTTTCCTTCCTCGCTGGCCTCTGTCTGTCCACTGTGTTTCACGGGTGCCTGTGGGGAGTGCGTGTGGGCTTGCAGAGACCAGCTTGACTTGTTGTGAGCTGCGAGCCATGTGTAATGTTTGCTGAATTCATTAAGCTATATGTGCGTGGTTTAGTGTAAGCCGGAGCTGTGTTCTGATCCTGTTCAATTTGTTTCAGTTATTGGCAGGGGAGGTGAGCAGATTTCACGGATTCAAGCAGAATCTGGTTGCAAAATTCAAATTGCTTCAGGTAAGATTTCTTTCTCACAGATCTCAGTTCAGTAGAAAGCCATATTTTGCAAATGTTTCCAGCCTCAGTACTCTCGCTCGTCCTCCGAGGTCTGGGGTGTAGGTGAGTATCGGGGCGCTGCCAGTTCTTTGTGCTTCTGGAGTTGGCTCCCGCAGGGGCACTGGAGCAAAGCCGTGACAGGCTGCTGCCTAGGGCTGCGTTTTCTGCACCAGAATGTTACGCCAGGCAGAGTGGGGCCTTGGGAGTCCCCTGGCTTTGGGGTCACTCTTGGGGACTGCACACTGGCTCCCCTGGATGAGACCATCCCACCCACCCCTTTGTGGAGAGAGGACAGCTTCGGGTTCTGGCCAGACCAGGCTGTCAGACACACTTCTAGCAGGGCCAGCGTGGCCTGTGTGGTACAGAGAGACAGATTGAAGAGCAGTTTTTATTTTATTTGCACTTTTATCATCTTACTTGAGTTTCACATTTTTGCAGTGGGAAGGAAGGGGCCTGGGAATACTTGGTTAGAAACATGTTTGTCATTTTACAAAATATTCACTAGAGTGTCTCTAAGGCAGTAACTGCTACTAGTTGTTTCTCTTTTCTGAGGAAAGGTTTTTGAAAAGCAGCCTTTTGGAACCGAGAGCATCCCGCATGCTGTGGGGAAGGAAGGTTTGCATCTCTGTCAGACGGCCAGGGCCAGTCACAGACAGTGTGGCTGGGCTCGGGGGACAGGCGTGTGGCCACCAGGGATCGGCTCTGACGTGCTGCCCCCGGCTCCTTACTGGTGTGCCTCAGAGTGGTCTGTAGCAGAGAAGCCAGGGGCCAGCACCATTGGTGGCCCTGGGGGTACTGAGGCCGGGGCCAGGGCTTAGGACCAGCCACAGCCCTCTGCTGCGTCCTCCTGACTCCCCAGCAACTCGTTTCTCCTCTGAGAACAGCTTGAGTTCTGTCCCCGGCGAGGCGAGCTGTCTTTGGGGGACCGGGCCCGGAGAGCCAGTCTGTGCCAGGCAGAGCCCCACTGCCTGATGCCCACCAACAACACCTCATCTTCTTGGTTCTTCTTGTAGAGAGTTCTGGGATTCCAGAGAGGCCCTGTGTACTTACCGGAACCCCAGAAAGTATTGAGTAAGTTTGTTTTATTTACTTTTTCCTTTCACTCTTCTTCCTCCTTCCCCAAGTGGGGAGATGTGGAAGGGCAGAATGGTGACCAAACCCTCAGCGGTCTGTGCTGCAGCCTGGCCGCCCAGCAAAGGCTCCTGTAGGAAAAGGCTGGGAGGTCGCCACACCAGGGGAACTTTTCTGTCACCTTCCTGAGGTGTTGCCTCTCTCCCTCACCCTGTGGAGCGCCTCTCAGCTGTCCTAACATCTCCCCCGCAAGCGAGGCAGGGTCTGCTTGGGCATAGATGTCTGCCCACCCGAGGGTGCTGACTGGCTTCCTCCTTCCTGTTAGCACCCCTTTCCTGGGCAGGCTCAAGAGGGCTGCAGAGGCCTGGCCCAGGTGTCCTGTTGGGGCTGAGCCTGTTATCCTCCGGACATTAGCCAACCCAATAAATCCTTCGTGCGTGGTCTTGCTCTGCTCAGAGGGCTTCATGGACCCCCCAAAGGGCTCTTGACCTCAGGGCCCTCGTGCTGGTCCTAAAATGGGCATTGCCCCTCTGGGTGCCACGCGCGTAGAGCTGCGTGCCGGATGCAGGTGCTCTGACCCCGGAGCCTCCCGAGAAGGGCTGTTCCGACTCTAATCACATCCCCACCCACCCCACCCCCGTCCTCCTCTCATCCCTTGAATGGCACTACGTATGGGACAGGGCGCTAATATTATGTCTGGCTCACTAGGTACGGTTGTTTTATTGTTTCTGTTTCTCAGGAAGTCTAGATGAGTTTAAATTCTCTTGTTCTGCTGCAGCATTGCAAGTGGTGAACCAGAATAAATACTGCTAGCAGGTGTGCGTGAGAGGGCAAACGGGATGGTTTTGCTGGAGTCCAGGCGTTTCTTTCTTCCAGCACAGGTTAATCTAGTGTGCTAGCAAAATATTAAAAAGCCTCTGTATCTGACAAGCTACGTGGAGTGATTCCCTGCGCAGAGACTACAAAGGCAGCATCTGTGTCCTGTCTCTCCCTCCTCTCTTCTAGCTCTGCTAACATTCCTGCTTCACACCAACCCAGGCAGCGGGCGATGGGATCACAACTTGGGGGGAGACACTGTTTTCTCCAGGGAGTGTGTAGCAGCCCATTGAAGGACTGAGTTTTTCTCTGTCAAAGGCATCAAAATATAGATGACATACAGTGATTTAAAGGAGAAATTTTGCAAATAACAGCCAGGAAAGATTCTGGTGCAGAAAAGGGAAGAAACTGGCCCAACAGATGACATGGGTGGGCTGGGCACACTGTGGCCGCTGGACGGTTTCTCTCCTGACACTGGCATGGGAGGCTCAGGATCCTGCTGGGCTGCACGGAGCAGGTGTCCGTGAGTGGGCGCCAAGTGGGCTGGCCACCCTGGTGTGGACGTCAGGGCAGTCTCATGGGGAGTGGGGTCCGACAGTGACTACTAACCCTGGCTTTCTTCCTTCCGCCTCTCACTGCTCTCTCACCTGCCTTTCTAAACAAACGCATGGGGTGTGCTGATTCTGCGAGAGTTAACCGGGTTGGGGAAGAAGCAGGGAAAGAGGATGATGTCCCTGTCACCAGAGCAGCCAGCATTTAGCCGGAGGCAGCCACTCTTTGGGGGATGTGAGCGGGCACAGGTGAGGCTCCGCAGAGCAGCGGCTTCCGACTTGCAGCTCGGGGAGTGGCACACGGCAGAGAGGCTCCGGGCTTTTGGGCAGAGCTGGAACTGGCTGGAGCACGCCCTGACGCCTCCTGCACTCCTCCCGTGGACCAAGGTGTTCAGTGCTAACCCTGCTGTGGTTCTTCTCCCTCCCAAAGACAAGCCAAGCGGCTCCTGGGCCAGATCGTGGACCGCTGCCGGAATGGCCCTGGCTTTCACAGTGACGCAGAAGGCAACAGCACGGTTCAGGAGATTCTCATCCCTGCGTCTAAAGTGGGCCTGGTCATCGGGAAAGGAGGAGAGACCATCAAGCAGCTGCAGGTACGCCAGCCCCACAGCCCCAAGCAGTGGTCTAACTGAGCTCCCGTACTCCATCCCACTCGGACCCTGTGAGCTCTCAGCACCAGGCTCTGCTTGGCACGCTGCACCCCAAGTGACATCATCACTATGGGGGCAGTGCTGGAGTAGGGTGCTTGGCCCGCCACGCCCCTCATCACCTTGCGCTGGTCTTGGAGAGGACGCCTGCCTCTGGCAGAGCTGGTGTGACACCCAAGGTTTCACTGCTGTTGCTCGGTGTGTGCTCCAGGATGCCTCAGCTAGGGCACCAGGGTCCAGGCACATTTCCGAGCTTAATATCCCTGACAAGGTCTGGGCCACATGAGTGACCACACTTGGTGACAGAGTGGCTGGAAACAGGTGTCTGTGAGTTGTTTCTAGCGCTGCCACATTAGCTGGGCACACGTCTGGACTTCTGAGCTTTGGGGCACTGCGGGTGCAGGGGAGTGGTGAGTCTGGCTGTGGGACGCGATTGGAAGCCCAGTCCTGGACCATAGAAGACGGTCTCCTTGGGGACCCCAGCACTGAGGACTTGGGGTCCGGAAGTGAGTTTCAGCCTCCTGCCAGTAGGCCCTGGCGCTGTGGCAGCCTGCCCAGGAGCCCCTTGTGCTGCAGTGTGGCGGCCTGCCCCCACAGTGGGCTTGTGGGGAAGAAAGCACTCCACATCGTGTAGGCTGAATGGGGCTCACTGATGCTGGGTATTCTGGGCACTGGACCCAGAGGAGGGAGAACTGTTTTTGGAAAACCATTTTGAGTTCCGTTTGGCTATTGTCTCGCCAACCTATCGTGTGGTTCCCAGAAGCCAGCTCCACAGGCCAGGTGGCACAGCCACAGTGGCTGTGATGGGTGGGGCCCCGGTGCATGAGGGACGGGGCCCAGCCATCCCACGTCCCTGACAGTAAGGGCTATGCTGGTCCCCACAGGAGCGTGCAGGGGTGAAGATGGTCATGATCCAGGATGGCCCGCTGCCCACAGGCACAGACAAGCCTCTCCGCATCACTGGGGACCCCTTTAAAGTGCAGGTAGGGAAGATGCTGGGGCAGTGGGTCCTGGGTGTGGGGCTGTCCCCTGGTGCTGGTCTGGGCTTGCATCTCACATCCTGAGACGTGTGCTCCCCCTCAGCAGGCCTGGTGATGCCGGGAACACTGCTCCCTGGCTTGGAGCCACACTCAGATTGGAGAAGAGCTCGGTCCTTTGTCTCCACTGGGCATGTGTCCCATGCTCAGTCGTGGCATGAGTAGGTGGACCTCCAGGTTGTGTCCGTAAGGGCACTGGCTATGGTCACCGGCGCCGGTCAGGTTGGCCCCAGGTCGTCTGCTGTAGCACTGCCTTGGGTTTCTGATCTGGTCCCTCTCAGCCCACCCCGGCCCATCTGAGGCAGTGCAAGGTGGACACAGGCCAGAGCTATGTGAGCACGCTGTGGCCTCACACAAGCCTCTGTGCCTGAGGCCTTGGCCTTCACCCATCCACCCTCCCCCTGCCATCCGGAGTGCGGATGGGCTACACCTATCCTCGTGGAAGGCGAGGGCTCCGCCTGCCGCCCACCTCCCCTGGCTGCATCAGAGCCGCTCCACAGTGCGAGCTTGGAGAGCTGGCCAATATCCACCAGCCGGTGGCTTTGGAGCCCTGGGGCTTCTTGGCCTCCTTGGTCTGCTGAGCTGGTTGTGATCCACTCATGAGTGTAGGACTGAGGGCGCTGGTGAGTGGGCTTCCTCGGGCCTTAGAGATGTGACTCCTCTCCTTCCTCCCCATCGTCACATTTAAATGGGGTAGGGGTGCTTTTAGGAAATTAGATTGCAGAGCAGGGCATGGTGACACACCCCTGCACACCCACTCTGGGAAGCTAAGGCAGAAAGATCATAAATTCCAGTCCTGCCTGGGGAACTAGCAAGACCCTGTCTCAAAATTTAACAAAAGGGCGTAGGTGCAGTAGCGTAAAGGCTCTGGATCCAGCCCCCAGGACGGCCGGAGTTTTAAAAGGTCAGGTTGTCAGGCTGCGCTGAGTCCAGCTGGCTGCTCCCCATTACAGCTCGTGGGCCCCACTATTGTCAGGCCCTGGAGCCCCTGCGGAGCATAGGAGAGGCCTGTGGTGTCTGCCCTGCAGCCCTCTCCAACACAACTTGGGCTCGTGTCCTGCAGGGAAAGTGCCGAGCAAAAGTGTCCTCTGGACACTTGGGACTGCGTAAAATAACAATAGCCCAAGATTTTTCAGCATTTTTTAATTTCAAAACTGCATATTCACTTTATTTGGCAGAAGTAATTTCCCACGTTGAGGTTGTTTTTCTCTCCCCAGCTTTTAGGAAGAACTTAGGCTGTGTAGACAGTACAGTGAACCACCGCGTGCCCTCAGCTGCTCGGCGCCCTGCTGAGAGAGTTTTCCTCTACCGTTTATCATAAGCAGACACTGTAACATTTCACTCCAAGCTCTAGGAAGATCCAGACCCAATCCCCAGTGCCAGGCCTGGGAAAGAGCAGTGCCTCCCTGTCATCAGCCCATGTCCAGTCCATGCTCCGTTCTCTACCTGTCCTTGGGCTCTGGCTGCTGTTCAGGTCGGTTGCTGGTTTTTTTGCAGAGCCATCGCTCGGCCCCAGCTCCCGTGCTGCCTGTGGCACTGTACACTGCACGCCTGGCTTTAGACCCCAAGTGCGGCAGTCGTGGTAGGGGGACAGGATGGAGACGCTGCCTCAAATGTATCAGATCCTGGAGGCAGGCAGTCTTGCCAGCATTGGCAGCCTGCTTCTGTCCCCAGCCAGTTGTACTGACGCATGGCCTCTGTGAGGCCGCTCCTGGGGTCTTGTCACCTCGCTGCCCTCAGCCACCTCCTCCAGAAGGGGACTTGTGGCACAGCAACCTTATTTGACCACAGGCAGCTGTGCTGGCGCATCGTGACTTGAGAGCTGGGCTCTGACTGCATGGGCCTCTGGGCCACCTGAAGAGCTCGTTGTCCAGGATCTGGCATCTGCAGCCCTCACTGGTCATAAGCACTGTGCTGACTTAGCTCCCCCCAGCTGGGTGCCCTCTGAGTCTGAAGCCCGCTTTGGGAGGGTTGTAGCTCAAGCTCCACCTGGTGCAGTGAGACCCTTGATGGCTCGTGTTTGTGTTTACACAGCAAGCAAGAGAAATGGTCCTAGAGATCGTCCGAGAGAAAGAGCAGGCTGACTTCCGGGGCGTGCGTGGCGACTTCAGCTCCCGGCTGGCAGGAGGCAGCATAGAGGTACGCTCGAGTCCTGTGCAGTTTTGGGTCACCCTTCTCGGAGTGTCCTGACCCTGAGCGGGTTAGCTGGCTATCCTCGAGTCTGGGAAACTCCGCACAGCCCGCTGCATGAAGGACACGGTCCCTTCCCCTGCCTGTGGGGTTCGGATCTGAAGGCAGGCTTGCTGCTTCGGGGGAAGACCAGAGTCTAGCTTTCCGAAGTGATCTGCTATCACAGTGCCTGGAGGCCCACTTCGCAGAGGAGGTGTCCTTCATCTGATGCACGCCACATCGCAGGTGGCCTTGCAAACAGGGCCCAAGAGCAGTGAGCCGGCCACAGAGACATCTGGACCAGGCAGACGGGACAGGGCTGGGGAGGGAGCGTTCCTGTGGGGTGGTCAGAGCCAGGTAATGGAGACATTTGGTGTAGAGCCCAGTGGTTTCCGGCCCTGGGAAGGTGTTCGGTGCCAGCACAGTTACCAGTTGTCCCTGGCGGACTCATGGCCGGGTGACAGGTGGTGTTGTACTGTTTTTTACTACAGTGCAAAAGATGAAGAAAGCAGGAGGGATCGTTGATATATCAGTGTGTGTGGTGTAATTGGACTTCATTTTATAACTTTTGATCAAAGCTTAGACTTACTTGATGAATATTTCATTGTCAAGAACACAGTCATTACCAGTATTGTTCCTTGGGAAAACACCTTTATTATGTTTATAGAATTGTACTGTTGTGGGCGGGGGATTTAGCTCAGCGGCATAAGCGCCTGCCTTGTAAGCAGGTAGTCATGAGTTCGATCCTCGGTACCGATAAAAAGGAAAAAGACAAAAAAAAAAAAAAAAAGAATTGTACTGTTGTGAAAACCAAATTATCTTTTTTTTTAAATGTCCTTTTAAAAAATGACAGATTTAAGAATGCTCTGATGAGGTTTTGTTTCTCTGTACTTAGGTGTCCGTGCCTAGGTTCGCTGTCGGGATCGTAATAGGAAGAAATGGGGAAATGATCAAAAAGATCCAGAATGATGCTGGTGTGAGGATTCAGTTTAAACCAGGTTGGTGTTGGTGATTCTCGAAGTGCCATAGTGGAAGGAACCGAGGGCTTTGTTAGAAGCCTGTGTGCCCTGCTGTGTCCTGTCTCCCTCCCGTTACAGCCTTCTGTCACCGGGGTTTCTTCTCTTCTTGGCTGGACGCACTGGCCCTGTCATCTTGCACCCGCATCCAGTGGTGCCTCAGTTCACAAACCAAATTCGCTCCGCGGTTCTGGCTGCAGGATCCAGCACTTAGCATCCAAATTGCGAACCAAATTCAGCCCAAGATTCTGGTTGCAGCCAAAGGCGGAGCGTAGGGGTAGGGATAGAGGAAGGGCTGTGGTTTGATGGAACGAATTCTGCCAGCAGAATGTGGAAAGACGAGTTTGTAAACCAAGGCACCACTGCCCTCCAGCGAAGGCTCTTCTGCTTTTCCCTCATGGACAGTATAGCGCCTCCAGTTTGTGGTTTTCCTAAACAAAGATGTTTTTTTAAAAATCGTGTATTGGTTTGATTTTATACAGAGATAATTTAACCCTAAGAAAGGATAAACATCCTAGAGGAGGTTTGTTTGTGTTTTGTGGTACTGGGGAATTGAACCCTGGACTTTTGCACTGATCTGTATTTCCCACCCCCATGCCCCACATCTGTCTCTTTCTTTCCCCTTTTAGACCGTCTTGCCTAGTTACCTAGACTGGGCTCAAGCTTGGGATCCTCTTGCCTCAGCCTCCCACAGTGCTGGGATTATAAGCAAACACCACAATGCCTAGTTCTTTAAATTATCTCTCTTTTTTTTGTACTGGGGATCAAACTCATGAGCACAAGCGCTTATGCCAGTTATGCCGCTGAGCTAAATCCCTAGCCCCTATATCTAATTTTTTAAGAGGAAAAAAAAAACTGATACAAAATTTCACATCAAGACAATAGAATAGGGCTGGGGATTTAAAGTGGCATAAGCGCCTGCCTTGCAAGCAGAAAAAAAAAAAGACAATAGAAGAGTAACAATGGTTAGTGCATTATACAGTTAGTGTTACTTTGAAACAGTTGCTTAGATTAGTAGATGCAGAGGTGAAAAATGGATCGAACAATATAAGCACAAACCTTTTCAGTGAATTAATAAAAATTAGTGTAAGTCTCTCATATGTTTATATTTTTTTCTTTAAATTTTATAAACTTCCTTCTGTGGGAGAAATTTCCTCATTGTGTATATTGTCTTCATCCCCCAAAGAGAGAGAATCTGCGAGGAGGACTCTTTAGAGCTGCCTGCCTTACCTCCATTCACTTTCCCTTGGCCGCCTGTGTTGAGTCTTGCGTTCTCTGTGGCTGTCTTCTTAAAATAGCTGTACCTGGCCTTGCATAAGCACTGAGTGCTGACCTGAAATAGGGAAAAGAAAGACGTGATCGCGCCGTCCTGCCTTCCCCCTGCTCCACACGCAGGTCCGGCCTCAGTGCTGGGCGCTCCGTCAGCCTCGGCCCCTCCGCGCCCTGGGCTTCCTTAATCCTACTTCTCTCCCTGCTCTGCAGATGACGGGGTGAGTCCGGAGCGAGCAGCGCAGGTCATGGGCCCCCCGGACCGGTGTCAGCACGCAGCGCACATCATCAACGAGCTGATCCTCACGGCCCAGGTGGGTCCACAGCTGTGGTCTGCCTGTCCCCTGTAGACCAGCGTGCCAGGCAGCAGTCACCTGCCTACCGGCCTTTGTGGAACCAGGGACAGCTCTGGGACCCTCCAGAGCCCTGGCGCCTCCTCAGGCACCCTGTGCGGTCTGTCTTCGGGCCACACAGCTGGGGTGACTCCCCTCCCCACCGTGCCGTGCTGGGGCTGCGGTGCTGGCTGGGGAGGGGATGCTGTCTCGGGAGCACCTGGCGCTAGCACAGACAAGACTCATTAGGTTGGCGGCAGACTCAGCCTCGCCTTGGGACCCGTGCTGCCGAGTGTCCCTGCAAGGCCCCGAGATCCTTGTCAGAGCTGCAGGGAGGGTGTCCTGAGGGAGCTGAGCGGTGGTGTAGGGGCTTGGGTGGCACCCTTTGCAGAGTGCCGCCACTGCTGAGTGGGAGAGGGCTGGCTATGTGTGCCGGTCCCCAGCGTGCGAGCTTCAGCCCCACCCCTCCGGTGCCTGCTTTACTTGTCTGTTGTCTCGCGTGAAAGCGGAGCTCAGGGAAAGTGCTCTGGCGTCTGCTCCTGCTGGCTCTGACTGGGTGGCGTTCAGTTTGCCTGTCCCAGCATGCTGGACTCTGCCAGGCATCTCCTCACTGCGGGAGCCACGCACCCGCATCCCTTAGCATGAAGGAGCCTGTGGCGTGGCCAGGTGTACGCGCCATGTGTGGCAGGTTTGGCATCTCGGGGCCCCAGAGCAGCACAGCAGCCAAGCTCCCTCAGCCACCCTGCGCGGCTGCTCTCAGCAGCCTTCTGCTTTCCGGGAGGAGACAGGCTGGTTCCTGAAGTTGTTTTGTATGTTCACTGGTGCAGGCGTCCTGACAGGGCACCGGGGACTGTCTTGTCCCTCCTGCCCCACGCGTCCATTTGGGGTGCCCAGAGCTCCCCAGCTTCTGGTGTCTGCCTCAGCCACAGAGCAGAGCAGTGGCAACTGGGAGGGAAATGCTTGGGTCCCAATGCCAGCAGGTGCAGGTGCTGTGCTCAGAACCCGTGGCCATGGGCCCAGGCACAGAGTCCAGGCCACCCCGCAGCCACACATGGCCCTGGGCACTGTCCCCTTGCGTGGGCCTGCAACACCTGTGGGTCCGGGGTGGAAGGTGCTAGCTTAGTTAGGGCGGACTACCTTGTTACACCGTCAACCGAGCCTCCTTCCCGGGGAGGGTGAGAGGTGGTGCTGGTGGCAGTGCACATGTGTCACCAAGCCCATGTCCTTTTTAGGAAAGAGACGGCTTTGGCAGCCTGGCAGTAGCCCGAGGTAGAGGCCGAGGCCGAGGTGACTGGAACGTGGGGGCCCCTGGTGGCGTCCAGGAGATCACGTACACCGTGCCGGCGGACAAGTGTGGCCTCGTTATAGGCAAAGGTGAGTGCATAGCGATGCAGGTTCTCTCTGCTGCCTGCTGCTCTGAGGGGACCCAGATCCTGCGGGCTGTGACATCTGGTCTGTGGCATGCTGCATTCTGTAGGAGCCCTGTCCAGGGTCCGACTCGGCCCATCACGATGGGCAGGGCTTCGAGTGTGAGCAGACCTGCGGGCCTACGGTGGGGAACTTGGCTGGGCTGTCACAGCATGGTTGCACTTGTGTGGGGGAGGTTTCAGGCACAGGTGTCACTCACAGGATTCGAGCTTTCTTTCATCTTTACTGTTGAAAAATGAGCAGATAGGGGCTGGGGATTTAGCTCAGCGGCATAAGCGCCTGCCTTGGAAGCAGGCAGTTCGATCCCTGGTACCGATAAAAAGGACAAAGACCAAAAAAAAAAAAAAAACAAAAAGAAAAATGAGCAGATGGGCTTTGTGCTCCAGACGCCATGCTTGGAGGAACAGGCCTCCGTGGAGGGGTGTACAGGCAGATGGGCCATGTCCACACCTCATCCCTGCTAACAGGGAGCCTGGGTGAGAGCTGCTTAGGAGGGTGGCAGCGCCCCGGAAAGGGCTGCACCTCTGGGGACCCCTGCCCCTGTAGGCCTCTTGGGAAATGTGGGTGAAGCGGGCCTCGCTGCCACGGTGGAGTGCACATCTGAGGCTGGACTCCCCATCGCCTTCGCACATGGAGGCGGTAAATGCTGCCTTCTCCCCAGGGTTGCTCAGATTCTTCCATCTCCAAATCCCTTTCAGCTGTTTCAGGGTGCTCCTGTTGCAGGGAATGTGACAGCAGTGGAACTCGGCATGGGTGGGGCGCTCTGCACCCCTTGGCCAAGGTCTGCTCAGTCTGCCGGGTACCGTGTGTGTGTGCGTGTTCCTGCTCCCTTGGCCTCATCTCCATCATGGACCTCATCTTTGAGACTAGGCCACTCTGCCATGGGGACGGTGCAGGTGGTGACTTCTGGTGCTGCCGCTGACACGTGCCAGTCATCGCTGCTGGTGCTGCACTGCTGTGCTGCATGTGTACATGTGCCACCCAGACCCTGGTCACTGCCAGGCAGTTGGAGTCTCTGGGTACCTGTGGGTCGACAACCGGAGCTGGCCCCGCTGCCTGCAGCAGGGAGCCATCAGGGCCACAGGGTAGCCCGTGTGTGCTTGGATGTCGCCAGCTACAAAACCACCCCAGCAGACACCGAGAATGGAGACGCCAAGCAGAGCTGTACTGGCTGCCCAGTCTCTGTGCCCTTCGGTGGCAGCAGTCACAGGAAGTCCGGCAGGCACCATGCCAGCCACACTGAGGTGCTAAGCGCCGGTGCGGGAGCAGGAGCTGCAGCAGCGGGCGCCATCCTGTGCTCCAGCCTTTGGACAGACGCACGCCTCCCCGGCCCTGCCGGATTTCCATGATAAACACGGCAACATTGACAGATAGCGTGGCCAGCCCTGCTCCTGTCAGCCAGGCCTTTTAGCTGTGTTGATTAATTGCTTTACGATTTCACGTCCAGCCGGGGGCCGCTGGTGGGTCGCTTCTGTCCCCCATCAGGTGGAAGAATGGAGCAAGCTGCTGAATGAGTCAATAGATAGCCACCGTGTGCCAAGCTGGTGACCTCATGTTGAAGGAAGATGAAGTTAAATTAACTCCTTCCCGCCCCGCGCAGCCTCGAGGCGCTCCTAAGGCGGCCAAGGCTGAGGCTGCGGGGCCCCAGGCCCTGCGCTGCCTCTGTGCACTGCCCGGCACTAGGCAGGCCTGCAAATCCAGACTGGGGGCTTCGGAAATGGCTTCCACCTCTTTGTTCTTCATAGTGCCCTCGAAATGTTTGCCTTGGGGCAGAGGTGCTCACTTTTCCTGGAGTGGAGGAGATAAAACCTGTGACAGGGCCCAGGGCTCAGGGCTCACACTGCCTGGAGGAGCTGTTGGCTGACAGGGCCCCAGAAGGCCCCAAGCCAGGGGACAAAAAATCCCAGCAGTTCTTTTATGAGCCCGGGACTTCGGGGGTGGGGGAAGTTGTGTGTTTGTTTGCCTTTAAGTTTAGAATGGCCCTGAACTAATGCACATGACTCACATGAGCCGCCATTGACTGTCCTTGGCCCCAGTGGAGTCCCGTCTCCCCTCAGGATGACACAGTGTGCCCCCTCCTCTCTTTCCCCCTGGCTTGCCCTGCAGCCAGAGGGAAGGCTGGGGTGCTCTCAGCCCGCAAGCCTTAGAGGAGCCATCCGTGTTACCTCAGGCGGGCTTGCTCTGCTGTCTGTCGCCCTTGCTTCCCTCTACCGGGCTGTGAATGTTGTATCCCTCGCCAGCTTTGCAGAAACCGAGCTCTGACTTCACTGTGTGTTGGAGCTGCTCCCAGCCCCTCACTCCAGGAGCCAGTCTGAGTTCTGAGGTCTCAGGAGAAGGGGACCATTGTTACCCTGCTGGGCTTTTGTTACGCAGATTGCAGGAAGAGACTGGGACTCTCCAGGTTTTTGAGAGTCCGACTATATTTTCATTAGCCTGGGGCTGAGTCCTGGCTGTCCCACCCCCACAGCAGCGCCAGGGACCTGCAGAGGTACAGGGTGGGCGTCCGAGGCCCCAGTGGGCTGCAGGCCCTTTGTGCACGGGGCTGTGGGTCCCTGGTGCCTCCCTGCGCCTTGCCTGTGGTGGGAGCTCAGTGGCTGCCTCCAGGCCAGGCTGGGCATCGCTGTGCTAGGCTGAGCTGGCCTTCCGCAGCAGCCAGTGCCCCTCTGTGAGGCCAGGCGCCCTCCTCACCACCTGCTTCCACCTGCAGGGGGCGAGAACATCAAGAGCATCAACCAGCAATCGGGTGCGCACGTAGAGCTGCAGCGGAACCCGCCGCCCAGCACCGACCCCGGCCTGCGCCTGTTCACCATCAGGGGCGTCCCGCAGCAGATTGAGGTGGCCCGACACCTCATTGATGAGAAAGTTGGCGTACGTACCCGCCCTCCCCGCCGGCGCTCCAGCAGGGTCGCCGCAGTCCGTCCTTGGAACTGCGCATCTCCTGCGCCTTCCGTCTTGCGTCTCCCTGAGTCTCGGAGGCGTCTCGGGTGCCCCACCACTTGCAAGGGCAGGTCAGAGCCCAGGGAAGGCCAGCTCCCTGCAGGGCCGTGGGGTGAGTCTGCGCAGGCTTAGGTGAGCGGCAGCCGAGCGCCTGCCCTGGCCCTAGGGCCACAGCTGTCATTGACTCTGGCTTTAGTTTCAGGCGCCTCAAAGCAGATAAAGAAAGGGAGAGTTGATGGAGGACAGATGGGCCACTGCTCACCTCAATGGGCACGTAGATGGCAGAAAGAGCCCTGGGCCAGCCTAAGTTGACGGGAGAGTCAAGCAGGTTGGTCCTCCCCCAGGGTCACACGCCAGGGCACTCGCGGTGGCGCCAGGATTGGCTGTGTGTGGTGCTGGTCACTGCGGGCAGCACCGCTGTGGAAGGAAGGCTAGTGTGAGTGCAGGGGCGTCTCCCTGTCGGCGCCCTCGCCGGGGCCTGGGTGGAGGGCGAGGCACTGCCCCAGGTGAGCATGCTCTGTGCCCCACAGGGACCCAGCCTTGGGGCCACCGGAGCCTTCGGACAGAGCCCCTTCAGCCAGCCGCCGGCCACCCCACACCAGAAGTGAGTCTCTGGACCCGCTGCCCGGACGCTGGCCCTGCCGCCTCTCCCTCAACCCCACCCCATTCTGGGCATGAGCAGCCCAGTGTCCCCATATTGGCAGTGTCTCTCGATGGACAGCTATATGCTCAGTGGTGATGGGGCAGGGTCCCTGCGTCCACTGCTCCTGGGGAGCCCTCCCTGGGGGCGGGCGGGCGGGCAGGAGGAGGCCCTCTGTACCTGGCGCTCAGCGGGGCTCTCCTGCTGTCCCCACTCGCAGCACCTTTCCCCCGAGGGGCTCAGGATGCTTCCCCAGCCTCGCCGCCAAGGTGAATGGAAACCCCCACAGCACCCCCGTGAGGTAGGTAGCGGGCAAGGGAGGTGAGCCTGAAGAGGGCCGGTGGGCGTGACACACGCAGTTGTAAGTGACCCTCCTGTCATCCACAGCGGCCCTCCCGCCTTCCTGACCCAGGGCTGGGGCAGCACGTACCAAGCATGGCAGCAGCCCACGCAGCAGGTCCCAAGTAAGTGGCTGGAGTGGGGCAGGCATGCGCAGGGCGGGGGCGGGGAGATGGGTTTGTTGTTTCTGCTCCCCAGGCCTGGGCCAGCCCGGGCCTCTCCTGTCCTAGGTCCTCAGCCCTGTAGGGCACCTGCCGCTGTCCTTCCGCCCCTCGAAGTGGCCTATGCTGCCATCCCTCTAGTATAGCAGCCTCGAACCTGTCAGAGTCAAGTGCCCGACCTGCACCCAGGGCCCACTCAGCATGAAGAGCCAACAGCACGGTTAGCCTGGACACGGGGGCTGGGGTCTCAAGCCAGCTGTTAGCAGCCACTCAGCAGCCAGCGACCTGGCTCACACTGCTGCTCTGGTGCTGCCTTACCAGGTCTCCGCATCTCCCAGAGTCAGCTGGAAGAGGGTGCTGGGGGGGTAGAGTCGCTCGGCCCCGTGCTCCGTCCCATCCCGTCCTGGATACCAGGAGCCCATCTGCAAAACCTTGCTGGGTGTGGCTGACGCATCCCTGTACCCCTGGCCGTAGCAAAACCAGAGGGCCCCGCCAGCTCCATGTGTCTCTTGAGGTCAGGGGTGTGAGTCCTGGAGCTCTGGCTGCAGCCTTTCCTCTCCGGGCAACACTGGGTCTGGCCTGAGCTGTGCTGGGAGCGCCTGAGCCCCGAGACCCAGCCAACCATGCCCAGGCTTGCAGCACCCAGGCCCGCTGCCCTCCACTCGCTCATCTCAGCCTCCTGCTACACTGGCTCCATAGCTGTTGCTTGTAGGACCTGTGAGAAGCCCTAGGTTTGGGGCACCCAGGGGAGCACTGAGCATCCTCTGGAAGTGACCTCCGAGGCTGCAGGTGGCTGCCGTGTGAGTAGCTGCCTCAGATGTGGAAGCAGCAGGACTGGGCGGAGTCTCTGGCCACACTCCGTGTCTGCCTGCCTCTCTCCAACGCCTTCTCCTTAGAAAGGAGGGAGGCGTCTGTCGTCTCACTCCGTGGGCTTCCTGCCGCAGGCTGCCACGCTGGCACTGGCAGGCAGTGGACGAGGCCCCTCTCAGAGGAGGCCTCAGTGGGCGGGTGCTCGAGCCAGCCCCGCCCTGCCCTGCCCTTGGTTGCGACCCCTCCCATGCGGTCCAGCACCAAGGTTGAGGTCCTTTCAGTCATCAGCGCCACACAGCAGGGAGGAAAGTGACACCACATGCCCTGTCCCCTCTCCCCACCACCCAACAGCTTCATGGGCATGGGACCCGTGCGGCTTCTGCCCCGCAAGGAGCGGGGCAGTGACAAGCTTCTCTCTGCACAGGCCCGCAGAGCCAGCCGCAGAGCAGCCAGCCCGACTATGGCAAGGCCTGGGAGGACTACTACAAGAAACAGAGTGAGTGCCCGGGGCTGCGTCTGCTGGGCCTTGCCTGTCGCCATGTCCACGGGCACTGCCAGGCCTGGTGCAGGCGACCTGTGTTGATGCCTCGCCTGTCTGTGTCGGGCCACTTTGGGCAGAGCGTGGCAAAGGCACCCCACAGGCAGGCAACGGCTGGGAACTGGGTATCTGAGGGCTTGGCCATGCTGGACAGGCTTGCTGCACCCCACATGTCCCACTCCCGGCCCGTGCGCACCCTGGGTTACTGTCCTCACACTGGTGCCTAGGCCTTCCTGCAGCCAGCAGGTGTTAGAGTGCTCCTTGGCAAGGCACCTGGTGGGAGTTCCATGCTTGTTCCTGTTCCCCAGATTCGCCAGCTCCTGGTGGGCTTTGGGCCTGCTGAGTGACCCCCCCACTGCTGAGCACCCCGTGTACTTCCTCCCAGAGGTTCAGGTGGGTGGGGGGTAAGGCAGCTTTGCAGCAGGGCCCCTGTGTCCATTCCCCCATGACAGCTCTTCCTCCCCCACCACCCAGGTCACCCGGGTCACGCGCCCAGCGCCACTCCTCAGGCCAGCTCGCCACCAGACTACACGATGGCCTGGGCAGAGTACTACCGGCAGCAGGTCGCCTTCTATGGGCAGACGCTGGGGCAGGCACAGCACAGCCAGGTCTGTAGCCAGCCCAGGCACACCCTTTGCCAGAGTGGGCCTGGGTACCCCTGAGAGCCCCACTGCAGCCCACTGTGTCGTGGGGGTCACCGGAGGGGCCGGGAGCCTCAGGCTGTTCAAGGCCCATGCATGGGTCCTCCTCACCCTGCCTCTGTGGGTGCCAGCTGCCCTCAGAGACTGGGGACAGCAGCCACACGCGGGCCCGGCAGAGCCGGAGCTGGGTTTCCCTACAGCAGGGCGAGGTCAGGGCCTGCAGGGACGTTTCCGGGGACAGCACCCTGGGCCTGCGCTGGTCCCCTGCACCTTAGTGCCGGGACCCTACAGCAGAGAGCCCCAGGCTGCCTCTCCCTCTCCCGGAGGCCCCTGCCTGACCGCTGTGCCTCCCCTCCCCGCAGGAGCAGTAGTCGCCGCGCCCCGATCCCCTCCGATCAGTGTGAAGAACCCTGTTGGTGACAGAGGTTTCAGATTCGCGGACCTTTTGATGAAGAACCTTTGTTTTGTTCTGTGAAACACTATTTACATTAACAGACTGTTTCTAAAATCTGGGAAAATTAGTTACTAAAATTGCTGATAATTTTGTTTTGTTATTTTTGTTTGTGATTTCAAACCTGTACGCTCTGGGGTCTTTCCAGAGCAGTCCCTGCAAGCCCAAGTGCCAGGGTGTGCCCCAGAGTAGTGACATTTCAGCATGGCGGTTTGGGTTTGTTTCGTTTTTGTCTTTTTATTTACAGGATTTTTTATTTTGATTTTTTTTTTTTTTTTTTTTTTTTGTCACAACAGAAAGTGGCTTGGAAGTCTTAGGTAGTATGTAACAAATTCTTTTTGAAAATTTTTAAACAGTATTTAAATATTCTTAAATGTGTAAATTCATTGTGTTTTATTTCTAATTTCTTGTATCTTGGCTGTCTGATTTTATTGCATTTTTTAAAAACCTGAACTATTATGTATTGTAATTAATTATATGAATTCTGAATTGAGACAGGTAATTATATTGCTGTCCACCAGAGCTGGGGGACATTGTGTAGAGTTTCTGTGATTTCTAGAGTTGTAGGGGTAATATAAAGGTGTGTGGGTATGTAGTAGCCTTCTCTTCATGTCTCATTACTGGCTGCAATTGTGTATCTAAGACCTCCAAGCTGGTTTTAAGAACAAAACAAAAATCCTTTATTCTCAGAAATAAATATACTGTTATTTTTAATATTAAAAAGAAATTCAATATAACTTTTAACAAACACTGTGGAACATTAAACCATATAAAAATGTAGTAACTATTTTTTAATTCCAAGGTGTTTTTTGCTTATTTCTTTTAAATATTTTCTTAATATTTGTCAGATTAACTAGATGAATTAATAAACCTAGTATTAACCACAGTATGAATTAAATAATTGTGATTTAATAAAGGGATATGATTTCCAGTGTTTACCGTAGTGTATCTTGTACAGATAACATGTATTTTTAAAGGAGAAAAACGGAATCGAAGCTATTTTTCTCGCGTTTTTAATTGACCTGAGGGACATTCCGTTTAAATGTACTGAAGTTAGTGTCTGATTTTTCCTTGTTATTTTCCTTACAATGCTTGAAATGTCTAACTATTAAAAAGGAATTGGAGAATGTTATGCATGTTATTTTAAAAGGTGTTCTTTTTATCTGACTGACAATTCATTTTACACTCTGTATAATAAAATCCCACAGCCGCGGGCTTGTGGATGCAGTGTCTGTCTGTCTGTCCGTGTGTTCCTTCCATCACCGCCACCTTGTCCCATGCACCTCCCATTGGGCGCAGCAGCGGGAGGCTTTGGCCTGAGAGCTGTGGCTGCACCAGCTTCACCCTGCCTTGTCCCTGTCACATTGGAGCTAGTGACATGGGGAATTTGGGAGCTCCTGGCCGGGACACCTTGCCTGCAACCCTAAGGCCTGCAGTGAAAGCTGGGCGGCTGACCTGTGCCCCTGCCCTGTCCTGCTCACCTGAGCCCTGCGGCCTGTGCACCCCTGTGTCAAGCCACCCCATCCCACCCCCGGGAGCTGCTGGGAGCCACAGGTGCACGTGTTTTCTGCTGTTTTCATGGAGGGAGAGGAGGACACGTCCTCTTAGCTGGACCTGGGCCGTAGGACCTCAGCCTCTGCCCTCGTCCCATCCTCCTGCCAGCCCGACACCGGCTTCGCGTTCAGGTGTCCATGCAGCCGCTGGACCTCAGTCAGACACGGGTCCTCAGGGTCCCAGTCGGAGCCCCCTCTGGCTCCTGTGTGTGCACGTGGGCGGACCCTGCCCAGCCTGGCCCCGCTGCAGGCAGAGACATCTGTGGTGGCTCCTGCAGCCCAAAAGGGGGTGGGGAGCTCCCGCCAGAGCCGGAAGATGGGGGAGACAAGACGCACCTCGCACTGCACCCCTGGAGAATCCAGCTTGACGCTGAGGAATTGAATGGTAAAAGCTGCCTTCGCGGGCGGGAGGGGCCGTGCGGCGGTAATGGGACTGGGAGAGGGCATTACCGGAGCTGCTTCTAATTCATCTTCCGAGCTCCGTGCCAAAACAGCATTTGGCACTGTTCACAGGGAGCGCCTGTGTGATAATGAACCCTAAGGTGTCCCTTAATTGAAGACTGAGCATTGCGGTTGTGCCAGGAGTCGTAAATGACGCAGGCTTGTGGGAGGATGCATTTTCTTAAATGTATCTGTAAGTACAGATTAGGGCCTGTCCCCAGTGAAATGCCCATGCTATAAATTATGGAAATCTCTCTCCCTTTCTCTCTGATGCAATCTTTGATGGGGGAGGGGGACGCCGGCCATCGGGAGGCGGTGGGGGGCCTTTTGCAAGCCTAGGAAGTTTGGCCTGGCGTTGACGTGGCGCCTGCCACCCGCCCACGGACCCGGGTTCCATCAGCCGTCAGCAGTCTGCTGCCCTGGAGGCTAAAGTGCTTCCAGCGCGCGAGTCCGGCGATCGTGTTCCATTAAGAAAGCTGCGTGGTCATCATGAGGGTGGCCTGGGCTTGGGGAGCCGGGGCGGGGCCGGCCTGTCTGCAAGGCTCCTCAAGGGCCCCCCCCACCACCACCACCCGGCTGGGCCTAAAGCCACCCAGAAGTCCTCAGGGTTCCCCAGCTCCTGTACTCCCAGCCTGGCCTCATGTCTTTCCAGTGCCCCCCGCAGTGGCAACCATCCATAAGGTGTTGGGGGCACAGGTGGCATCTTGAAGTGTCCCATTGGAGAGGGCACCAGGCACCCTGGGGCTTCACTTCCAGCTGGCTACAGCACCTGGCTTTCCCAGCCCCGCTTCTGGCCCTTAGGGGCCCAGCTGGAGTTTTGAAGATAGATAATGCAAATGGTCCTCATGGACTCTTAGAAATTAATGGCCAGAGAGTGGCCTGACGATTCCTCAGGGGGCTGCTGGCCCCCGCCCGGGTCCCCGTATGGTGCACTATGGAAGGGGGCAAGCGGAATCCGGTCCACCTCGGGCTGGACACAGCAGTCACTTTGCTGTGCTTTGTCCTAAGAGCCTTTTCTAGCTTAATCTACCAGGAAAGTTCTAGAACTGCACTGGAGAAGAGAGGGCTGTTGTCCCCTTCCTCAGGTGAGGGCTCTCCGGGGTCCAGAGGCTTGGGGCCCTTCTGTGCACAGCCTTTCATCTGGGCTTCTTGGTGTCCCCGAGAGAGGGGGTGCTGGGGTGGAGAAGCAGCCCCTCAAGTCAGCAGGCTACACCCCGGGGGGGAAGCCAGTGACAAGCACCCCCCAGACCTTGTTTGCAAATCCACCTAAAATGTGTATACCACCTCAAGGCCTCTGCTCAGACACTGCCATGCCTTTTGTGACCAGAATCAAGTTCCTGCTGAGCTGGGGGGCAGCGCGGGGACCCCTGCCGTCCCACTGCAGCTCCTGTGCTCTCAACACCCACCAGGGCCGCCTGGTACCAGTGACGCTGCCGCCCAACCCCCGAAGGCGCAAGAAGACTGCCTGCCTTCCAGGGAGGCCGGGCGGCCATGAGCTTAATGTAAATGAACAGACTCCAGCTAGAGAGGAGCGCAGGCACACACATCTTTGCAGTAAGCCAGCGGTCTTTAAGGAGTGCGTGTGGCCACATCCCTGCCTGCTGTGGCCCACCGGCTCATGTGGAAATAGGATTGTTAGGAGCTGACAGGTCTTGGAGAGGGATGAATGCTGTCCAGAGCCAGTGTTCCTTCCTTCCCTCTCCTTGTGCTGGAGATTGAACCTGGGGCCTTTTCCGTGACCTCGTTTTATGTTTTTATTTTGAGGCCAGATCTTTGCTGCATCCCTGATGGCTCATGCAGGACTCCAATTTGCAATCCTCTTGCCTCAGCCTCCAGCATGCTGGAAGGACAGGCCCGCACCACAGTACCCTGTGCACTCTCTCTCCCAGGCCTCCTCGCAGCCACACAAACCCATGAGGACACCAGTCTAGCAGCAGAGGTCCCCAGTGTGTGCCACCGGGGAGACTATCCAACCTCACTGGCGAAGACATAGACGAGGAGAAAAATCTACCATGTCTGACCTTGCTTTGCCAGAAGCCCGGTGGAGATGGAGAAGCCACTGCCTGGGTCCCGGCCAGTCCTGCCAGGGCAAGTGCTTCGAGCCGGGGTGCAGGCATGGACAGAAAAGGCGCGTGTGAGAGGGACAGCTGCTGTGGTCCCCTTGGGCACTCAGCCCCCTGGGGTGGCAGAGCGTAGGGTGATGCATGTGACACAGTATGGCAGGGAGACCCCCATCGGCCTCTGTGTGACCCACAGCCAGTGATTTATGACTCTGTGGCTCCCAGGGTCAGTTTCTTCAGGGGCCATGGAAGGGACAACAGCCTCTGCTCCTGGAGCTGAAGACCATGTCAGGGGCTCACATGGGAAGCAGCTGGTGCCTGGGCTCCAGGGACAGCACCCAGCGTGGGGCCTTGTGGCACACACTCATCATTCCAGCCCTCAGGAGGCTGAGGCAGGAGGATCGCTACAAGTTCAAAACCCCTCAGGTCAACACAGTGACTTCCTGTCTCAAAAAAAAAATGGAAAAAAGAAAAGATGACAGCTACACAGCACTGAATGAGTCAAGACCTCAGGCTGCTGTGCTGGCTTTTTCTGCCCCACTCTGAGCACCCCACAGGGGCAACCGGCCTGGCAGCGGAATTGTGCTGGGCAAAGAGGACATCGCAGCCCCTGACACTGCGCAGTGACCCCTCAGCCACGGCAGCTGAGCTCCTGGGAAAGCACAATCTCCCAGTGGCCACTGCGGCACCTGACAGGAGTCGCAACCACCCCACCTACCCCATGTGACAGCCGTGGGTGACACCCATGTGGCAAGGGGCTGAGTGGTGAAGGCTTCTCAGCCCTGGCCCACAGGAAACCCTGCGTCCTACGCTTCGAAGACACACGATAAGCTCCCGAGGTCGCTCCCGCCTACGTCAGATCCTCCAGCCTTGATTTCCCTGAGAAACAGGGTGCAGATGTCACCAACAGCTCTGCCACCAAGGTCACAGCAAGCCCCAGAAATCCTCCAGCCTGCAGGCCTCCTGCATTGCGCAGCAGTACAGCTGAAAGACGCAAGCCAAGTGTGGTGGTGGCACAGGCCCATGACCCCAACACTCGGGGAGGCTGAGGCAGGAGGATCAAAAGTTGAGACCCAGCACAGGCAATTTAGCAGCTTAGCAAGACCCTGACTCAGAAACGTAGACTGGGGGGCAGAGATGGAGGTTAGCAGGTTCAACCTCAAGTAATGCCAAAAAGAAGGAAGGGTTCAGTGATTGATGGATTGATGATTGATTGATTTAGTGGAGGGGAGCCCAGGGACCTGGCTTTCATTCCCGGTAGCACAGTGAACTGGCTGTGTGGCCTGGCGGGCTCCTGACCTCTGCTTCCCTTACCGGCATCGGACCACACCAGGCTTCTGCATCCTGATGGGCTGGGTCTGAATCTGTAATTCAACTTGTAAATCAATTGCTACTTAAATGTAAAGCTTGGTGATAGGGTGTGTGACTGTGAGAGACAGGGAGGGAGGGGGAGAGCGAGCACCAGCTTTTGGGGGTGAGGGTCACACTACAAAGTCCAGGCTGGCCCTGAACCAGTGATCCTCCTGCCTCAGCCTCCTGAGTGCTGGGATTGCAAGTATGTGTTACCACAAGCAGCTGGCGCTTTTTACCCACTTTGGCTCTGTCTCTCTTTTGCCCCTTTTGGCTACCCCAACCCTGCAGACTCCGCCCCTTCTGAAGTCACCCCATTCTCCTCAGACATCCTGTCCTGTCCCAGTTTGGGAAGCTCCTATGAGCTTTGGGAGCCCAGCCTGCAGATCCCCTCTCCCCGCTGCTCACCAGGGCCACTCCACTCCACTACCACGGAGCTTTCCGCCTCCAGCGCCTCACATTTTGCCCCCGCCACTCCGGTTGGGCCACTGGGCAGGCTGCCCGCTCTGCTTTCTGCTTTCATGGCCAGGCCCCTATGTCCCCTGCCTCAGCCTCCAACGCCTGAGTCATTTCCCTCATCCTGCAGCTGCAGGGGCCTCGAAGCCTGGACCTGGCGGGTCCCCGAGGTGGCTCTGGTCCCCGGTGCTGTCTCCCTCTGACACCAGCCCACTGTCAACCTCCACGCTTTGTGAAAATCGCCCTTCGAGCGTCCCCACCAGCCTGCAGCTCTGCTCAGTCCCACTCCAGGGTCCTGTGATTCTCCGTTCTCCACTTCACCTGTTTCCCCCTCCGCCTGTCTCCGGAGGTCTCAACTGCCTCTGCAAACTC